CCCAATTTTACCCCAAATGCAGATTGCAGAATCACGTCGGTTACACATCCACAATTTTACATAATGCCCTATTAGTAATTGTTGTATTCTGCTACTATCCCCCCTCCCCTCCCCTTCCATCTTCTCTCTCTACCCCATGTATTGTAATTCATTTGTCTCCTTGTTTATTTTCCCATTCCCCTCACAACGTCTTATATATAATTTTGTATAGCAATGAGGGTCTCCCTTCATTCCTCAAATGTAATCTTAAGAAAAAAATCATGTTAGCTTACAGATAACACCCATAGAGACTGTGATGACTTTTAGGTATTTGTAGAATAGAAGGTCAGTTTCTGAGGGCTTACAGTTCATGAGAATTGATCCCTTTGCCAAAAAATGAAAATCAGAACTTTCTTGTATTTGATTACTGAGATACAGTATAATTGGGGACTTTTTCTTTAGCTCTCTTCTCATTCTTTACTTGACATCATCCATCCATGTTTTCTTCAGGTTACTCAGTCTTCCCCTTTATATATTGTTATTATGAATATTTGAAAATGCAACAGAATACATGTGAAATAGATGTCCATAATGAAGCAAAATTATAAAGTGAATACCTATGAACCCAACACCACATCTAAGAACTAGAACAGTACAAATCATTTTGAATCAACTTGGGTATTTCACAATCGCAGCCCTCCACATAGGTTTTTATTTGTGAATACACTATAATTCATTTCATTACAGAATAATATAGACTTTATGCCTAGATATAAAATTATAGGTCTCAGCAAAGGCAAATTTTTCATTTTTAGGATGCCAAATTATATTCCAACACTTGTCTCATTCTCTTATCACTATCCCAGTTAATCTCATTTCCCTTTGTCTTCAAATTAATTTGTTTTAAAATTACACTACCTTGAAAACAAAAATGCCCACTAAATGCCTACCTTTTTCACTTGATTTTATGAATTTGCCTTACATGTTTGCCTACCTTTGTTATCCATCATTCTTAAGCATAAGCTTTCCAAAAAAATGTAACCATTCTGTGTCAATTTCTGAGGGCTTAGATTCCGTTAGAGTTATTTAATCCTTTTATATGTATACATTTTAAAAATCTGCTTATAATACTGTAGGTTGATAGAATATAGAATTCTGGCAACAAAAGTTTAAATTTCGTCCATTTAGTTCTTTGTGAGATACAGTAAAGGGCTGAGTTTTGGAGGTTTTGTTTTTTCATTCTTTTCTTTATTCCCTTTATAATAGGGCCCAGCTGGTCCCATGGGTATACCAGGGCCAATTGGTCCCCCAGGACCACCAGGTTCGATGGTAAGCTTCTTCTATAATTTTATTTTTTCTCCCTTTATTTCTAATCTTTTTTTCACTAACGTTAGTGTTATTTGTAATGCATAAAGGTATTCATAACTGTAATTTTGTTATTTATGGATGATTTTTGTTATGTGAACAGTATGCATTCCATGTAATAGTTCTCCATCATAGAGACAGAAAAAATGAAGTACATAAAATGAAAAATTTGAGGACTGGGGTTGTAGCTTATTGGTAGAGCGCTTCCCTAGCATGTGTGAGGCATCGGGTTCAATCCTCAGCACCACATAAAAATAAGTAAATAAAATAAAGGTATATCAACAACTAAAAAAAACTTTAAAAGATGAAAGATTTGAAATAAAGATTTATCTTTTCTTTTTTGCAATTCTGATGATTGAACCCAGTCCCTTGACCATCCTAAGCATGCACTCTACAACTGACTTATAACCCCAGCTGAAAAACTAAGTATTTTGCTGGTTGCCTCTTGATAAATCACTGTTGAGGTCAGTTCTGGCCATCTCAGGAATCTTCTAAGGCAATCTTCATGGAATCCTCTAGGTACTGGATGAAATTTATTTCTTCAAGATTCAATTTTTTTGTTTAAGAAAAATAAAAAGAGCTTCACAAAAAAATTGGCCTTAATTTCTTAGGGGGCTGGAAAATACAGTAGGATTGATGAAGGGAACAGCCACACTGCAATGGAATCATAGATTTGTGTACCCTAGTAGAGAGGCAACAACTTCTAAAGACCCTGATTGCACAACCAGTCCTCTTATTACCTCTACAGACACTCTTGTTTTCTACCCTAATAATTCTAAGTACTTTTACCCTTGTAATACCAATATTTCATTTAAGTCATGTTTTGGGCTTAGAGCTTTGCTATTGTCAACTTAAAAGGGCAAGAAAATTGTATTTCAGTCAAAGTAATTTTTCACATGCCATTCTCTCATCTACCATATATTTAAGTGACAGTTTTCATTATATTTTTATAGATTGTACATTTTGGTAACAATTGGTACTCTACTCTTGAATGAAGGAGACAATGTTTGGTAAATACTTAAAAGAACCTACCAGAAATGATTATGTTTTCTGGTTTCCTGGAACTCCTTGGGAAATGATTAGAAAACTTGTTTGTTAGTTAGTTAGTTAGTTTGTTTGTTTAGGTGCTGGGGATTGAACCCAGGGCCTCATGCATGCTACATTCCCAGCCCCATCAGTTTGTTTTAGTTGTAGACCTCCTATGGAGCAAGAGTCCCTGGATCATGGCATTTTTTCCCTAGTTCTGCTGTTACAACATTAGTGTTCCCTGGGTAGGTTGTTAAACTTTGAATTTCCTTGACCCTCATGGACACTTAACCAGTTCACTCCACACTTTTGAATGTTCTTTCAATTAACCCTTATTCTGTAGGCAAAGCAAAATCTCAAAACTGTTGCCAAGATACAATGTGTAAATAAATGCATCCATTGCAAATATGAGGTAATATACATGGGTAGATAAATACTATTTAATTTTTCAAACTTTGAAAAATTCTCAAAAATGCAAAGCATATTGCATAAAAAGGAAACTGGATTTAAAAAATAAACGCATGTTTTTAAGAGCTACAGCTTAACAAGGTTGGCAGTGTAGCTCAGTGGTAGAGCTCTTGCCTAGCATGTGCAAGGCCCTAGGTTCAATCCCCAGTACCAAGAAAAAAAAAAAAGAACCAGATCTCATTTCTTTGTGTTAACTCAATTTACCCATAATTCTGAGAAAAGAAATAGGATACATTTGTTGAAGTTAACTTTTTTGAATTGATTTTTTTGTATGGTGCTGGGGATTGAATCCAGGGCCTTGTGCATATGAAGCAAGCACTCTACCAACTGAGCTATAGCCCCAGCACTTAAATTGATTTTTGATATTGGTGCTACCCTTCTCCTCTACCCATTCTCTCTGCTCCTGCCCACACCCATTGTGTTGCCAGAAATTTCCACCTTCATCTAGTTTCTTTGAATTGATTTAAATGTATGTTGCTGACTACAATGCAGTTAGTTTAAAAACACGTTGTTGTTGTTGTTGTCATTTTTGCTGGGCTAGGGATTGCATGCTAAGTGCTTTATCATTGAGCAACATTCCCAGGCTGTTTTATCCCTCACTCTTTATGAAACAAAATAATTTTTCAATAAACTTATCAATATAATATTTTTATCCTTTCCTACGTCTTCTTAGGGCCCTCCTGGCCCACCAGGACCACCAGGACCAAAGGTAATATTCTTTTTCTTTGCATCTTTTATTTAGTGTGGATTTTTTTTTCTTATTATCAATGAGATTTTAATGAAATCTCTCTCTTCAGGGGAATATGGGCTTAAATTTCCAGGGACCCAAAGGTGAAAAGGTGAGTAAAGAAAGAGTTGGTTATTCAGCCCTAGCTTTCTCTGTTCATAATCACTTGAAATGTCTTTTATGTTCCTTCCCCTGCTTCTTGCAACCAACACAGTTTACATGTTATATTATTGTCTGTGGTATATAATGACATATCACAATCTTATTTTATTTTGTAAACAGGGTGAGCAAGGTCTTCAGGGCCCACCTGGGCCACCTGGGCAGATCAGTGAACAAAAAAGACCAATTGATGTAGAGTTTCAAAAAGGAGATCAGGTGAGTAGGTGAAGAGGAAATCAATAAAAATCTTGTTATATATGTTAATTAATGTGATCCTGGTAATTATTTCACAATATATATGTATATTGTACATCCTAAATATATACAATATTTGACAATTATAGCTAAGTATAGCTGGAAATATTTTTTAAATCCAAAAAATTTTTGCTACTGAAGTGACATTTCAATAAAATGCATAATAGGCTGAAATATGGTTATATATGAGAGTATTTTTATAAAACCAAGACTTGGGCTAATTAAAATTTTAAAATAACTTTTTTGGCATATCATTCCATACCATATAATTTACCAATTTAAAGTATACAATCCATATTATGTATTTGCAGTATAGTGAAACTATTATCACAATTTAGTTTTAGAAATTTCTCCCCCAAAATTCCATATCTATTAGGTGTAACTCCCTATTTATCCACAAACACCTCAATCCTAGGCAACTGCTGTTTATTTCTTGGCTCTGTGGATTTGTCTAATCTGGATATATAGATTGAATCATACAGTCTGTGGTGTTCTGTGTCTGGCTTCCTTTATACAACATAATTTCAGACTGGGGATATATCTCAGTTGGTAGAGTGCTTGCCTCACATGCACAAGGCCCTGGGTTCAATCTCCAGCACCACAAAAAGAAAAAAGATATAGAGCATAATGTCTAACTACTTCATTCCTTGTATGACTAAATAATATTCTACTGTGTGAATGGTGCATACTTTGCCCATGTATCAGTTGATGTACATTTGGGTTGTCTTTATTTTTAGCTATTTGAATAATTCCTGTATAAAATTAGGTCATGGTAGGGTAGATTGCATTGTCTTAGATGACTGTATTTTCTAGATTTCTGTGATAATTTGAGAAATATGAGGTTGCTCAAAATGCCTTTCTTATATTTAGAAATAGTTATCTGATACCTCTACTGGAGTAGATGAATGGATCAAACACATTTTTATTTCTTACTGGTCCATCTTTAAAAACACACAGTTTGTGGAATTTTGTTTCATTCAAATCTAATGAACAGAGTTAAGAATAAAAGAAAAATTATATCTAAACTCTGTCATCAATATGGGCCATTTAATTCTCTGCCAAAATGTATGTGTGTTTTCCAGATATCATATTTAGGCATTTCTCTTATTTATAAAAATATTTTATAAGGTTAAAAATCATTAATATTTTTATTTAAGAGTTGTCTTGTTTTGCCTCAAAACTACAAATTAGTGTAGTAAGTGAGCAAAGATGGATCTAGTTTCGTTTGCCTACCAATTTCAAATTCAAGTTAGAAGCATTCTCTTTGGTTATACTATATTCAGTTGTTAAAAATGTTTCTGGCTACCTCTAGTAGTTAGTGATAGCCCATATTCTAATTTTAACATTGCTTTTCTTTCTCCTACAACTATATAGGGACTTCCTGGTGACAGAGGGCCTCCTGGTCCTCCAGGGATACGTGGTCCTCCAGTAAGTAACCAAAAGCATATTATCATCATTTAATTTAAATTGATATTGAACACAGTATCCCATGAACCAATGTAAAACTACTTTTGTGTGTATAGGGTCCTCCAGGTGGTGTGAAAGGTGAAAAGGGTGAGCCAGGAGAGCCAGGAAAAAGAGTAAGTGTTATCAGTACTAATACTCTTTGAAGAAAATTCTAAATGTGTGCATTCCTCTGTGTGAGTATGTGTTATTCTTTCTTCCTACATCCTTCTTTCATTGCCTGAGAACAATCATTCTTTGTATACTTATTATGATATTGAAGTCAAAAAGTCTATTTAACATATTCCAAGGTAGTACTGAAGCTTATTATATTCTTTAGCCTTATACATCCTAACTAATAAATTTATGTTCTTACTCCATCATTTCTTTGACCCTATAGGGTAAACCAGGCAAAGATGGAGAGAATGGCCAACCAGGAATTCCAGTGAGTATCTAAAGTCCTCTCCCCCCAAAAAACTAGTAGTCTTAGGTGGTGGTAGAAAAGAAAGATGACAAGGAGTTTAGAGTTTGGAAATATTTTAAATGAATGGATATTATCCTGTTTGTCTTTTGGATATGAATTTGAGATACTTCTATATTAAAGTCAGATTTATTGAGATGTAATTTATATACAAGAAAACAAATCATATTTAGCATAGAGTTCTGTGTTTTAATAAACATAGTTGTGTAACCGACATCATAATCAAGAACAATTTCATCACCTTCAAAATTTCCCTCATGTTCTTGTATTTATTCCCTCCCTTACTCTCACTCTCTAAGCTCCTGGCAACATCTGATCTGGTTTCCATCCACATAATTTTGCCCATTCTGGAGTTTCATAAAGATGGAGGTATATACTATGTAGCCTTTATTTATTTGTTCTTTCTAGATATACATGACATTAGAGTGTATCTTGACATATTATACATATTAGAATAAATATAACTTGTTCTTATCAAGATCCTATTATTGTGGTTCTATATAATATGGAGTTACTCTGGTCACATATTCATATATAAGAATAAGAAAAATATATCCAATTCATTCTACAGACTTTTCTGAACCCTCCTCCCCCTTCCCTTTATTCCCCTTTGTCTATTCCAATGAACTTTTAATCTTCCCCTCCCTTATTGTGGGTTAGCATCCACATATAAAAGAAAACATTCAGCCCTTGGTTTGGGGGGACTGATTTATTTCACTTAGCATGATATTTTCCAATCCCATCCATTTACTAGCAAATGCCATGGTTTCATTCTTCTTTATGGCTGAATAATATTCCACTTTGTACATATACCACATTTTCTTTATCCATACATTTGTTTAAGGGCACCTAGGTTGATTCTGTAGCTTGTTTATTGTGAGTTGAGCTGATATACACATTGAAGTGGCTACCTTACTTTAGTATGCCAATTTTAAGTCCTTCAGCTATAGACTGAGGAGTGAGATTACTGGGTCAAATAGTGGTTCCATTCCAATTTCTCTAAGGAATCTCCATACTGCTTTTTAGAGTGGTTGCACCAAGTTGTAGTCCCAGTAGCAATGTATAAGTGAACCTTTTTCCCTACAACCTCACCAACATTGATTGTTACTTGTATTCTTGATAATTGCCATTCTGATGGGGTGAGATAGAATCTCAGTGTAGTTTTGATTTGCATTTCTCTAATTGCTAGAGATGTTGAACATTTTTTCATAATTTTCTGACCATTATATTTTTCTGTGAAGTGCTTGTTCAGTTCCTTAGCCTATTTGTTGATTGGGTTATTTGGTTTTTTTCTTTTGTGTAAGGTTAGTAAGGTTATTTTGATTCCTTTGTATATCTTTGAGATTAATGCTCTGAGGTGCTAGTGGTAAAGATTTTCTACCATTTTGTCTGTGTAGCCTTTTGAATTATAATTCTTTCACATAGAATAATATATTGTACTGTGTATTGATAGTTCATTTCTTTTTTTGGCTCAGTAATGGTTGTTTGGATTACTAAGTTTTGGTTAACTATTTACACATTGAAGGATATTTTGGTTCTTTCTGAGTGTCAGCTATTATGAATGAAACTACTATGAACATTCACATACGGTTTTGTGTGTGTGTGTGTGTGAACATAATATTTTTTAGTATTTTTTTGTGTGTGTGTGTGTGGTACTGGGGATTGAACCCAGGATCTTGTGCATGCAAGGCAGGCACTCTACCAACTGAGCTATGTCCTCAGCCCAAAATATTATTTTGATGGATCATTTTTGCCAGTGTTCTCATTGCTTCTATGGAGGAGAAGGTTTTTTAGAATTACTTGCTCTGCCATTTTTGCTGATAATATCCCTCTATGTTTTAAAGGGTTTGCCTGGTGATCGTGGTTACCCTGGTGAACCAGGAAGGGATGGTGAAAAGGTAAGAACTGTATTATTTTGAAGAGGGTGGTTTTATTCTAATTCACATAATTCTTTTCTGTTCTAAAGTTGGACTATAAATGAAAAAGTTATAAATATCTTCTTTTGTATTCAAAATATGCCTTCATTATACATCTTTTGGTGTTGCTTCTTTTTCTTTATACCCCATCCTCTAAATTTCCTTCCATTGCCCTAAATCACAGTCCATGTAGTAGAAACAAATGAAGAATTATTTAACTTAAGCATTCCTATTGCAAAGTCAGTGTTTTTGCTTTGAACATGTATTGGCAAAACTTTTTTTCTTCCAGAAAGAATATTCATCATTATTTTAGTGAGGTGCTCTGGCTAGAAAGGATTATAGCTATAAGTTTAGAATGTCTTCTTTAAATATTTCCATTCTGTATGTAATTATCATCTATAAGTTTATTATTAATTCTTTGTCTTTTCCTTTTCACTAGGCCAAGGCAGCCTGACTAAAGTTATTTATTTAGCTATATATTTTAAATGTAACTTGGAAAGCATGTATAAGATAAAAAGTTACCTGATTTTAAAAAGGTCACAAAATATCCCATATCCTAAGACCTCTGTTAATTGCTCTGTATCAAAACCAGAATGAAAAGCTTTGTTTTTCAAGCAATGAGGTAAAGGTGTTATAAAATGTGCCCTCTGGGAACATTCAAGTGGTTTATCTGTAAACTAGATCCAAGTGTTACTTTGGCCTGAAAGATACAGTTAGAATGAAGGGAGGCAGCAACTACTAAGAAAATGGGATTTTTTTTCAAGTGTTAAGTTTATGTTATTTGACAGAATAATGTCTTATACTAAAATGAGTTTTTATATAAATACAAAGTTTCTGTGAACAAATCTAGATCAAGAACAAAGGTATGGGACTGGGGTTGTAGCTCAGAAGCAGAGCATTACCTAACATGTGTGAGGCACTGGGTTCAAGCCTTATCACCACACCAAAATAAATAAATAAATGGCTTTCTGTTCATCTATAACTACAAAAAAATAAATTAAAAAAAAGAGTAAAGATGTGAGAGACATCTATCATTGGGTCCTGGCCAGTAGACCGAAAGTAACAGTTGAATATTGTATTCTCCAGGCTGTTGTAGCTATCAAAGATGAAAATTTTGTCTGAATTTGTCTTTCATTAGCTTTTTAGAGCAAACTCATAAAAGCAATTACAAGTTGTTACCTGTTACTGATGATAATTAAGTCCCCTGCCTCTAAAATATATGTCATGAATTAAAAATGACACTAGATTATGCCCCTGAATGGTTTTGTGGGAAGGAATACAGCTGAATGTAGCAAAAAGTGATAGTTTTAAGTGATTCTTGGGGTACCATTTTTTTCATTATCTTCTTTATAGAATATTTGTAGTTTGCTAAAAAATAAGAATCCTGAAACCAAAAAGTGTTACAGCTAGAAGTCTGGTCCAAAACTTCAATTTTCAAATATATTCCAGAGAGGTTAAATGATCAAGATCATGTAGCTAGTGCAACTGAGACATCATCACTGGTCTTCCTCATCTTATCCCAGTATTGTCTTATTGCATTACATTGTGTTTCTCATTTTAAGTATTTTATTATTGATTTGAGTCTTTTATGGAACTTAATTATCTCTTATATTTTTGAGGAAGTTGATACTTTCTTCTGACTTTTACTAACATATTTTACAATTGCATTGAACAGGGCCAAAAAGGTGACATTGGCCCTCCTGGGCCTCCTGGACTTGTAAGTTTTTTAAGTCTTCATTTATCAATTTTAATATTGCATTATTTTTTGTGCATTAATTATAAACTCCCTACTTTTTCAAGTCATTACCAACTTCTATTGTCTTAGAAATCTGTACATCTAGGAATTTTAGTAGTGTTGATCTCAAGGTCTTTGTACTGTTCTGTCTTTGTATTACTTCTCCAACGTAAAGGTCCAAAATTATGGCGTTGGATTGTTTTGCATCATGATTGCCAAAGCATTTCTCAAGCAACCAGCAGGTGGTGCAAGTGTTGCTTACAAAGGTTCAACCAAAGAAACTCTTGGGTAGGTGAGGATGGTCCTTTCCCCTGCAGAGCTCAGGACAAAGATGGATTCGGTCCTAATAGGTTTTCTCAATTTGTAATTGTCTGATTCACACCTCTTTCTTTCCAGAGTGTGTGCTTTCTAGGGGCTCTTAATAACAAATATAGGAAACTGCTCTATGAAAGAATAATTGGAGGGTTTACAGATTTTCTGTCATGTTTGCAATGACCATGAAATTTAAGTCAGGTTTATTTTTAACCTTATTAAGAAGAAAATATGATTGCTGAGGTTTGACAAATTGGTTTTACTTTTGTTGAAATTTGGTAAGATTTTATAGTTTAGATGACATTGAAGCCCCAACAGTATGATTGCATAAGCCTTATTCTATATGTCCAGACACTTTGGTAACATTAAATCTTTTTGTCCATAGTGAATCTCAGATATTAATACTTAGAACTGTACAGAGTATAATGAGGATATACTGACAGACAATTCTCTTAGGTAGTTTTTATTCACCTTTATTTTAAAATCAAATTTCAGTTTTCTAGGGGGAATTATCCTTTGAAAACAAGATAATAAAATTTTGATGAGTATTAGAAGAAATGGAAATTTTGAGAGTGCGGTCCTATCCAAGTAGTTCCCTTTTCCTTTTGAACCACTGTCCCAATCCTGGGTCCCACAATTTTTGTTCTCCTCTTGTTTAAACATTTTTTATATAGAGGTAAGAGGAAACACCACCGTTTGCTTGTAGGTGTTTATTTGTACCTCAGACTGACAATTTCCTAGATATGAAATTTATTTTCCTTTGTATATGTATGATGTGAATTTTTAAATACTTACCTAGTATGAAGTTCTTTAGAATAGACTTAAGTCCTGAGTTCTAAGAAGACAGAGAACAGGTGCGATCAGTTAATTGGGTTGAATCAATACAGTCTTCATGGAATAGAGGAGGTTCTTTTTGTTGTTCTTTGTTGACGGAAGAAAGACATGTGAGTGAGAATAGTGAAAAACTGACATAAGGCATTACAGATGTTTGGAGTGGCATATACAAAGGCATAGATAAGAATGTATAAGTTGTCACTAGTATGGCATTATGTAAAAATGTGAATGTGTATCCGATGTGATTCTGCAATCTGTATTTGGGGTAAAAATGGAAGTTCATAACTCACTTGAAACTAATGTTTGAAATATGATATGTCAAGAGCTTTGTAAGGTTTTGAACAACCAATAAAAAAAAGAATGTATAAGTTGCATGAAGAAGTTATAATCAGACTTTATTCTAACAAAAATCCATTGCTAGAAGTAATAGGAGATAAAATAGGTGAGAGAGTTACCATAAGTGAGAAGTAGCTTTACAGAATCTAGGATTGAAAATAGCATCAGATATAGTGAGGAGTAAGCAATTTCGAGTGCTTAAGCAGAGTAGTTAACACAAAAAAATAGGTTTTTGAGGAATTATATCCTAGCAGTAGACATGGATCCAATGGTTAGCCCAAGTGCTTCTGTTAGTCCAAGTGTGAGTTGAAAATAGTAGCTGTGGCATTTTTAGTAAAGAATTGTTAGGCTTTAGGTGACTGGAATGACTTGAATGTGAATTATAAGAGACAGCAAAGAATTCATCTAGATTTGTCACCCTGAGGTTCAGAAAGGTGGTGACATTGTTACTGGTATTAAACATTTCCTAATCAATCAGATGATAAGAATATTATAGAATGTGCCTCAATCTATATAGAAGTCTTAATGATTTTGCATCTGAACACCTGGTAACAATAAGGCATTATCATATTTAGCTGCTAGATTACTTTCAGGAGAAAAGCCTCTTCCTCTTTGAGTTCCTTTATTTTCTCTCATGATAAGGTAATTCCTAGACCTGAGACTGGTGTGACTATAGGAGAAAAAGGAAACATGGGATTAGCTGGCTTGCCTGGAGAAAAAGGAGAACGAGGATTTCCTGGAATACAGGGTCCACCTGGCCTTCCTGGACCTCCAGGTAAAATAGACTCTACTCATGTTGTGCTAATTGCATCCTTACTAATCAATCCGTGTATATGCTTTATCATACTGGTTCCAGGGTAAGCGTAGCAATAGAAGACATGAGTTCTTTTTAATTGACAGATTCTGCCCAACTTGTACAAATTTTTCACTTGTAATAACACAAAATAAAACAAACAACAAAACTAAACTTACATGATACCTTTTTATCCTAAGAATCCAATTTCTACCTTTTATTATTAATAAATAATACCAAACAGATCTGTGACTCAAAAGGCAATAGGTGAATCTTCATACTTTTCATACTACTAAAGAAGAGGATGCTGCCCTATAATGCCTAGTTTTTATTCACTTAAAGTTACAGAAATATGTAAATAGAAATCTCCATTGTGATTTTTCTATTTAATAAAATCTTAGGACTCAATATTGAGGTTTATATCATTCTCTTTGATAATAGCCTATATAGTATAGCACTTCTGATTTGGCCACAGATTAAGCACTGCCCTTGTCCAGCATGTATTTTCAGTGTTCTCTGAAATGGGGTGATAGTTGGTATTTATGTCAAATTTACAAATGCATCTGATATAGTACCTAGCAAACATACATATTCAGTAAATTGTGGTTCCTTTCCCTTCAAAAATAATGTTAATGAAATATTATCATGATGAGTGACACCCATTGATCCTTGCAAGAAGAAAGAGAATAAATGTGAGCTTAATTTTGTTCTAAATTTGTACTCTAGATTTCTAATCTCCAGATCGAGGACTAAATATATATCATATCTGAAAAACTGAACTAAGGAAATCTTCCAGGGTGCAGTAAGAGTTAAAGAGTTGAGAAGTATGAAAGAAAAATTGGGGTATAAAATAGAATAGATTTAGAAGCTCCTAAATCAATCATGTGGAAGTTCAAGGAGGAGAGAACAGGAAAAGAGGTAATATTCAAAAACAAATAGTAGCTGAGAACTTACATCTGCTTAAAAAAAAAAGCACAAAACCAAAACAAAACAAAAAAACCACAAAGCCTGTGAAAAATATCATGAAGCACTAAGTAAGTAAAACAATAATACAAAACCCATAAATAGACAAATTATAGGGACATTTCAGTATTTAGGCATTAAAAAAAAACTAAGAAAAAGGCAAATTACCTACAGAGAGCATTGAAAGTCAGGGGAAGAGATAGGATACCTATGAAGTTTATCACCTCCAGACCTTCTCTGAAATAGTACTGGAGGTTTTATTCTGAAAATAAGGGAAGGAGTTCAGGATGAAGTGGACATGAAAGAAGGATGAAAGAAACAAGGGTTAGAAAAGGTATAAGTAAAGCTTAATAACTCTAAATGAGTTTTTTTTTTCTGAAAGGCTTTTAGCTTGTTAATTTCTTTTTTTTTTAAATCATTTTGTTGTTCTTTATTTTTATGTGGTGATGGGGATTGAACCCAGGGCCTCATGCATGCTAGGCAAGTGCTTTACCACTGAGCTATATAACCATCCCTCTAAATGAGTTTTGATAATTAAAAAATAATAAAAAAAATAGGGGCTGGGGTTGTGGCTCAGAGGTAGAGTGCTTGCCTAGCATGTGCGAGGCCCTGGGTTCAATCCTGAGCACCACATAAAAACAAATAAAATAAAGATATTGTGTGCAACTACAACTAAAAAATAAATTTGAAAAAAAGGTGCTTTAAGTAACAATCTAAAAGTGGAACTGTATATTTCAACATGAGATGTGTAGGTACAGAAGGGATCAGGGAGTCGGAGAGGGTTCTTTGTTGTTTTGTCATGTTAGAAGGAGAAAAATATAGGTATTGTTAACTATGAGTTTTTAGAAAAGTATAGATTTAAAGACATGGGTTAAACACTTAAAAGTAACTACTAGAAAATATTAGGAAAAAATGCATAGCTTTATACACCAGTAAAGAAGAAAAGGGATTAAAAACCTCTATGCAGTAGAAGTTAGGATTGGGGCAAAACAAAAATAAACCCAGGTAAATAGAAAATAAAATATGAGATGAGTAAAAGAAGTTAAAAATAAATCAGTAATTGAACAAATGTGAAAAGACCAAACACCAATTAAAAGATACTAAAATAAAATTGGGATAAAAATATCTTTATACTATACACGATAGACATTTCTAAAGCAAAAAAAAAAAAGAAATTTGAAAATAAAACAGTGGAAAAATCTATTAGATGATATCAAAAAGAAAGCTAGCTTATCAATTTGATAATATGAAATAGAATTCAGCACAAAATACATTAAATGGACAGGTATTTTATATGTGTATATAGATAAATTATGCCACAGTGGATATAAAAGTCATGAAACTTTATGTACTTAACAAATGACTTTGAATATATAAAGTGAAAACTTATAAACTACAAGGGATAAATGTCAAATCCCCAACATGTCAAATAGTTGAAAATTAAGGATAAAAATAATTTGAGAAACACAATCAAGCTATCTATGTGGAAGAGAGAAAAAATTAAACAGCATAAAATATACATTTCTTTTCAAATATACATGAAATATTTACAGAAATTGACTCTATTAGACCAGAAAAAATCTACTATATTCAGATTATTCTCTATGATCACAGTAAAATAAAGTGATGATATGACAACAAAATCACCAAAGAACATTTTATATTAAAACACAATTACAAATAACTATAAAGATGAAACAAATGGAAATGACAAACTACAGAATACAAAGCAACAAGGAAAATACTTCATATCAAAACTCAATGAATATAGCCAAAGCATTACCCTTAATTTATCACAAAGTTAGAAATACTAAAAGTAATTGAAGGGCTGGGGTGTAGCTCAGTGATAGAGTGCTTCTCTAGCATGTGCAAGGCCCTGGGTTCAATCCCCAGTACCACAAAAGAATGTAAATGAGCTAAGTTGAAAACACAAACACATGTATAAAAAATGACAGATGCAAGAAAAGTTCAGGGAAACACTTGATAAACAATTTAAAACAATTTTAGTCAGGTATGGAAACTAAAAGATGCTATTGAGAAAAGATTGAAATGAACAAAACTCAGCAACTATAATCAAGATAAAAGTGAGATAAGGGGTGGGGCGAGGTGACACACACCTGTAATCCCAGCAGCTCGGGAGGCTGAGGCAGGAGGATCACAAATTCAAAGCTAGCCTCAGCAGCATTGAGGCCCTAAGCAACTCAGTGAGATCCTGTCTCTAAATAAAATACAAAATAGGGCTGGGGGTGTGGCTCAGTGGTTGAGTGCACCAGACTCCAATCCTTGGTATCTCCCCCTCAAAAAAGTGAGACAAGGCACAAATAAAATTAGCAAATAAAAAGATATTACCATTATTTAAACTTGAAACTAAAAGCAAACTAATTATATCTTAATACATTTGGAATTGTAAATGAAAAGTTAGACTTCTTATGGAGTAGAAAAGAAATGATTAATATTGTCCTGAGAAAGTAGGAAATGTAAGTGGATCAATTAAAACAGAAGATTTTGAAATGTTGTTTCTCCACTAAAAAAAAAATATTGATTTTTATGGGTGATTTTGTGGCTTAAGTCTACCCCACTGTCAAGGAACAGACAATTCCCTATTTTAAACTATTTCAGAACACTAAAAAACTTAATCCAATTTAAAAACATTGATACCAAACCACCAAGGGGATAACACTTCAAATAAGTATAATTCAGCCTTATCTATGAACATAGAATAAATAATCCTAAATAAAATATTATCAAGTCAATTCAGAAGCATACTAAATAATGACATTATAACATTGCTATAAATTACTATATTAACAATAAAAGAGAGTAGGCCAATAAATGTAGAAAAATTCACAGTAGTAATAAAACAAATACATGTATAAATAGCAGAAGATATGTAAGTACTCTGTGGGATTTTATAAACTTTATTAAATACAATAAAATTACTAAATATATAAAGATGTACTTCATTGTTACTTTATGTAATAAGTTGGTATTATAAATAATCAATTCTACCAAAAGTCAGTCTTTAAATTCAAATTATTCACACTTCGAATTCCAGTGGGTTTCTAAAAATAAAAAGTGACAAGGTGATTCCAGCATTAATTTAGAGGAACAAATCTATAAGTGAAGATGATTTTTAAAAAGAACAAAGATATATGTAACTTCCTTACCAGCTTTAAATCCATATAAAGCTATAGTAACTAAAAAGTGTATTAACAGTACAGAAATATTAAATAATGACAGTGGAATTGAAGTATGTGCAGATTGAGAGTCATGTTTACATGGGAACTTTGAAATGCCTATTTTATAACTTTCTTTTATTTCTGAGAGTATCAGAGTAGGTAGAAAATTATTACTACTTTCCATAAGTAATAAAGTCACCTTGAATTATTATTTCTTATATTTAAACTTATTTACATTATTTGAACAACCTTTCAAATATTGATTATGATGGAAAAATAAGAACAAAATAAATCTTATGTTAAAGGAAAATCTGATAATTACTTAATGTCTCATTAAGAACCAAATTAATATCTTTAATGTAAGATCATTTTGATCACTTTAATGAGTGCTCTTTCTTATCTTAGGGACTGCAGTTATGGGTCCTCCTGGTCCCCCTGGATTTCCTGGAGAGAGGGGCCAGAAAGGTGATGAAGGTCCACCAGGAATTTCTATTCCTGGATCTCCTGGACTTGATGGACAGCCTGGGGCTCCTGGCCTTCCAGGGCCCCCTGGCCCTCCTGGACCTCACATCCCTCCTAGTAAGCTTTCTTTTTCTCCTGTTATGTTCTATTTTTGTTTTTGTTTATTTCACTTATAAGTGAATCCAGCTGAAGGTTGGCATCATTATTTGCATTCCTGATGTCCAGGAGGTTCTATTGAAGATTCTTCTGTTCAGTTTGGGTGATTCTTTGATGTTTAAATTTGCTCTTCAAATGTATCTTCAAATGCTATTATCTACAATATTGTGTCTTCCTTTTGGTTGTATTTCTGCAAAGAAATTAATGAAAATAGATATTTTGTCTAGCCTATTGGGCTTTCATGTAGTCTTCTGAATGTTTCATAACAATTAGCTGCTATGCTATTTCTTTGTCTAATTTAGGTGATGAGATATGTAAAGCAGGCCCTCCAGGCCCACCTGGATTGCCAGGTGATAAAGGACTACCTGGGGAACAAGGAGTGAAAGGTATGATCCCCAAACTTTGTTCATTCCTTCTTTTTTCATAACATCAGCAAAATCCCCTTATTTTATCTTCCATCCTACCTCAGTGACTCATTCCCTGTTCATACACCAAGATCATCTCATGAATAGTACTATATACCTACATAATCTTGATTTCATAAATCCAACTTTTGAGATCATTTATTTCCTATCTTTCTAACTCACTATCTTCCTTCATTCCTTTGTTCCTCCATCCCTCCTTCCCTCATTTCTCTCTACCTCCCCCCCACACTTCTTCCTTTCTTTCTCCAGGGATTGAACTCAGGGCCACTCAACCACTGAGCCACATCCCCAGCCCTATTTTGTATTTTAGAAACAGGGTCTCACTGAGTTTCTTAGTATCTCCCCACTGCTGAGACTGGCTTTGAACTTGCCATCCTCCTATCTCAGCCTCACAGGCTGCTGGGATTACAGGCGTGTGCCACTGTGCCTGGCTCCTAGCTCACTACCTTTCATAATCTTACTACAACATTACTTCAACACCATTGAGATCCTTTAACTTTTTGGTGTCCTTCCTTTGCTCTTAACTTCATCCCATGATCAATCATTGGAATCAGTCTTATTCATAAACCTTTGATTCCTTTGTCCTTCCCTAACTTCCTTGTGCTTGCTAGGAACTAAAGTGTAGCCTTAGTAGTTTCAAAATTTCTACTTCTTCTGAGCCTGTATCTTCTCTTTTCAAACTCATTATACCTCCTTCCCTATTCTCATTTTAAGATTCTGACCTACCTTCATACTTCAATGACCAATTAAAGTAATAACAACAGTTATTATACATTGCTACCACCACATTTACACACATACTTGAATTTGTGCCACTGTACTCTACTTTCTTGCCTATTGCTGTTGCAACTCCCATATAAAGCCAGTTTTTCTATTTGCATAATAGATTACATTCCCTTTTGTTTCCCCAGGGATTTTGGTCCAGAAATTTTTGCTTCTTCCACATCATCAAATTTTCCCTACTGGATAATTCCTTGCAGCATACAAATATGCTTTTTTATAACCACTGAAAAAATATGTTAATGGTAATCCCACTCCTCCTACAAGCTACTGTTCTATTTTTCTGCTCCCATTTGCAGCAAAATTCCCCAAGAATGTTCTGTTCACTGTTTCTAGATACCCTCCTCCCATTTTCTTTTTTCTTATTATTTTTTTTCTTTTAATGGATACAACAATCATAAAAGTTGTACTAATGTTAATGGTGTGTTATATAATGTCAATACATGTATACATTGTATAATATTTAAATCAAGTTAAACAGAGTTATCTTTTCAACATTTATCATGTTATTGTGGTGAAAACATTCAAAATCCTTTCTTCTAGCTTTTTCAACTATACAATACATAATTGTTATAATAGTTATCTTTAGTTGCCACACTGTGTAAAAGTATCTTCAGAGCATCTCACTCCTCTCTGACTGTAACTTAGTACGTATTGATCAACTCCTCACCTTCCCTTCCTACTGTCTATTGTTCTAAGCCTGTGGTAACCACCATTCTCCTTAACTTTATGAGATCAACTTTTTAAAATTCCACATATGGTGAGATCACATGCTACTTGTCTTTAGGTATCTGCCTTACTTCACTTAGCATGATGATCTCCAGTTCCATATGTGTTGTCACAAATGACAGGATTTTCCGCTTTTTGTGACTGAATAGTATTCTATATGTAAGTGGAATAATATTGTGTACCAAATTCATTTATCAATTCATCATTTGATGGTCCCATAGGTTGTTTCCATTCCTTGGTTATTATAAATGGTGCTGCAGTGAACATTGGCATATAGATGATGCTTGTATACACAGATGTCATTTCCTTTGGATGTGTACCCAGTAGTGGAATTGCTGCATTATATGGCAGTTCTATTTTTAATGTTTAAATAACCTTCAAAGTATTTATTATGCTGGCTATACTAATTTACACTCCCACAAACAATGTGCAATATTTTCTCCACATCTTTGCCAGCACTACCTTTGGTCTTTTTGATCTTGGCCTTTCAAAGCTGGGGTGAGGTGCTAACTCCTTGTGGTTTTGGTTTGCTTTTCCTGATGATCTGTGATGTTGAGCATGTTTTCATATACCTGTTGGTCATTTGTATGTTTTTTTGTGTGAAATGTGTATTTAGATCTGTTACCCATTTTTAAGTCAAGTTATTTGTTTTTTGCTCTTGAGGTTTTGAAGTTCCTTATATATTCTGGATATAAACCCATTGCTAGACATTTACATTGCAAATATTTCTCCCATTATCTAGGTTGTCTATTTTGTCTCTTGGGTGTTCCCTTTGAGGTACAGAAGCTTTAGAGTTTTGTGTAATAACATTTGTCTATTTTTTGCTTTCATTTCCTGTGATTTTGGGGGTTTTGCCAAAAAAAAAAATCTTGTCATTACAATTTCCTGATACATTTCCTTATGTTTTTTACTAGTACTTTATAGTTTCAGGTCTTACTTTTAAGTTGATCTTTGTAACTAATGAGAGATAGGGGTCCAGCTTCATTCTTCTACTGCATATATCCAATTTTCTCTACACCATTTATTGAAAAGACTGTACTCTCTCCAATGTGTGTTCTTCCAAAATCAGTTGGCTATAGACTTATGCATTTATTTTTAGGCTCTCTGTTCTGTTCCATTGGTCTAGTTGTCTTTTTATGCCAATACCTTGCTTTATTGATTACTACAGCTTTGTAATATGTTTTGAAGTCAGGTGGTTTAATGCCTCCAGCTTTGTTCTTTTTGTTCAAAATGGCATTAGCTAGGGTTGGGGCTGGGGCTCAGGGGTAGCACACTTGCCTGGCATGTGTGAAGCATTAGGTTCAATTCTTAGACCTTTATTTTACTTATTTATATGTGGTACTATCAACAACTAAAAAAAAATTAAATGGCATTAGCTATTCAGTATTTTTTTGTGGTTACACAGATATTTGAAAATTTTTTTCTATTTCGGTGAAGAATTAATAGAGATTGTATTAAATCTGCAAATCACTTTGTGTAGTATGGACATTTTAACAATAGTGATTCTTCCAATCCATGAATACAGGATGCCTTGCTGCTTTTTTCTCTTTTTAAATGTCTTTCATCAATATCTCATAATTTTTGTTTTGCAGAGATCTCTTACCTCTTTGGTTAAATTTATTCCTAGATATTTTATATTTTGAAGCTATGGTAAAAGGAATTACTTTCTGATTTCTATTCCAGATAATTTGCTGAAATTAGTGTATAGCAACATTACTGATTTTTGTATATCAGTTTTTTGTCCTGCAACTTTCCTGAATAATTTATTAGTTCTAAATTTTTTTGGCAGATATTTAAGATATATCAAATCATGTCATCTGCAAACAATGACAATTTGACGTTTTTTCCAATTTGGATGTCTGTTATTCCTTTCCCTTGCCTGTTTGCATCCAAAACTATGTTAAATAAACATGTTAAAAGTGAGTATCCTGATCATGTCCCATGTCTTAGAAAATCTTCACCTTTCCCCATTTTATTTTCTTTTTCCCATTTAATATAATGTTATCTGTTGGCTTATTAGAAATGGTCTTTATTATGTTGAGGCATGTTCCTTGTATACCTAGTTTGTTCAGTATTTTTATCACAAGTGGATATTGAATTTAATCAAATGCTTTTTCTGCACAAATTGAGATGACCATGTAGTTTTTGTCCTTCGTTCTGTTGATATGATATATCATGTTATTGATTTGCATATATTGGACCCTCCTTGAATCCCTAGAATGAATCCTACTTATGGGAAGTATTTTTTTTAAAGTGCTATTGAAGGGAGGGAAAAGGAAGGTAAAGGGGAATGAGAATGATCACATTATGTTATGTCTATGTATCAATCTGACATAATGAATACCTTTATTATTTATAGTTATAATGCAGCAATTATCAAATATTGTGACCCAACTCTTTAAATTGACTTTGAAACTACAATAAAAGTGCATTTCTGAGTAGGGAAAAAAATAAAGTGTTGTTGGATTTGGTTTGCTAGCATTTCATTGAGGATTTTAAAAATCTGTTTATCAAGGATATTGGCCTGTAGTTTTCCTCCTTTTGTTGTGTCCTTACCTGGTTTTGGTATCAGGGTAATACTTGCCTTATAGAATGTGCTAAATGACTTCTTTTTCTGATTTTTTGGAATAACTTAAGAAGAATTGGTATTCTTCGAATGTTTGGTAGAATCAGCAGTGTAGCTATCTGGTTCTGAGCTTTTCTTTAATGGGAGGTTTCCTTTATTACTGATTCAATTTAATTAACAAGTATTGTCAGTTCAGGTTTTTTGTTTCTTCAGGATTCAGTTTTGGTAAGGTGTATGTATTCAGGAATTTTCCCGTTTCTTCCAGAATATTAAATTAGTGGGTATATGCTGATTTGTAATAATCTCTAATGAGCTTTTGTATTTTTGTAGTGTCAGTTACAATGCTTCCCTTTTCATCTTTGATTTTCTCTCTCTCCTTTTCTTAGTCTAGCTGAATGTTTGTCTATTTTATCTTTTCAAATAACTAGCCCTTTGTTTCATTAATTTTTTGTGCTGTGTTTTTTATCTCCATGCAATTTATTTCCACTTTGCTCTTTCTTATTTCTTTCCTTCTACTAATTTGGCATTTAGTTTGTTAGTGATTTTTTTCATTGCTTCAGATGCAGTGACAGGTTGTTTATCTGGGAGCTTTATAATTTTTTGATGCAGTCATTGATTGCTATAAACTTCCCTGCTAGTATTGCTTTTGCTGTATCCCATAGCTTTGGGTATGCTGTGTCTCCAGTTTTCTTTTAGGTGTTTTATCATTTTAACTTTCACATTTTGATCTTTGTTTTTAATCTTCAGTTAATTTTTATGTATAGTTTGAATCAGAGATCAAAGTAGTTTTTTTTCTCCTATAGGTATACTGTTGACTCAGTATTATAATACAAAAGACCATCAAAATTTTATTAATACTTTTGTATTACTTATAATAATGTATTCATTTCATTAAAACATATATTGGAAATCATGACCATATATGTGTGAGTCTAATTTTGACCTCTCTATTCTGTTTTTTTTTATTTATCTCTCCTTGCATCAATACCAGACTGTCTTAATTATTGTGGCTTTGTAGTAAGTCTTATATATTTGTATTTTTATACATCTAAGAATTATATGTTCAACTTTTAATTTTGAAATGCTCAGTCCTTATTCCTCTTCCATACCTAAACTCATTCATCCAGTCCTTTGACTTTTTTAAAATTTATATATGATAGCAGAATGCATTATAATTGTTATTATACATATAGAGCACAATTTTTCATATCTCTGGTTGTATACAAAGTTTATTCACAACAATTTGTGACCTCATACATGTACTTTGGATAATAATGATCATCACATTCCACCATCATTAATAACCCCATGCTCTCTTCCTTCCCCTCCTACCCCTCTGTCCTATCTAGAGTTCGTGTGTTCCTCCTATGCTCACTGTCCCTATCCCACTATGAATCAGCCTCCTTATATCAGAGAAAACATTCAGCATTTGTTTTTGGAGGATTAGCTAACTTCACTTAGCATTATCTTCGCTAACTCCATCCATTTACCTACAAATGCCATGATTTTATTCTCTTTTAATGCTGAATAATTTTCCATTGTGTATATATGCCACATTTTTTATCCATTCATCTATTGAAGAGCATCTAGGTTGGTTCCACAGTCTTGCTTTTGTGAATTGTGCTGCTATAAATGTTGATGGGGCTGTGTTCCTGTTGTATGCTATTTTTAAGTCCTTTGGGTATAGTCCAAGAAGAGGAATAGCTGGGTCAAGTGGTGGTTCCATTCCCAGATTTCCAAGGAATCTCCATACTGCTTTCCAAATTGGCTGCACCAATTTGCAGTCCCACCAGCAATGTATGAGTGTGCCTTTTTCCCCACATCCTCACCAACACTTAGTCTTGTTTGTATGCATAATAGCTGCCATTCTGACTGGAGTGAAATGAAATCTTAGAGTGGTTTTGATTTGCATTTCTCTAATTGCTAGTGATGATGAACATTTTTTTTCATATATTTTTGATTGATTGTATTTCATCTTCTGAGAAGTGTCTGTTCAAGTCCTTGGCTCATTTATTGAAAATACTATGAACTTGTCAATTACTTCCAAATTTCTGTCTCCTGTCCAGGTATAACTCTTTGCCTTTAGATTTGTGTGTGAAACTACTTAGTCAATGTTTTGAACTTGACATCCTGATCAAGTTACAATCCTAATTTCTGCTACTTCCTTTCCCACAATTGCTTTACTGCCATCTTCCCCTTCTTACATGAAAAGTAGTCTTCTCTAGCCTTCTAGTTGTTTCAGGTTAAATAACCCTGGAGTCATCCTTGATAGCTCTCTTCTTTTGTATTCCATGTATGATCCATGAGAACATCCCATTGGCTCTACTTTAAACCTAACCAATTCTGATCATCTTCATTGCTGTAACTCCGGAATGAACTACCATCTCTCTCATAGAACCCTATAGAAGTAGCCGCTTAAGTGGTTACCTAGTTTCCATCCTTGCCCTTAGAGCTTATTGTTAACATAACAACCTTTGCTTTTCTTTTAAAATTCTTCTACAAGATTCTCATTTTACTCATAATAAAAGCTATTGAATTTACCATGACCTATACAATATTCCATGAGAACCCATTCCTTATAAACAGTTCACTCTCTGATGTGGTTCTACTTTATTCTGCTCCAGCAATCTGGTCTGCTTGCTGTTCCTTATGCACATGTGTCACCCTCTAAGTTTTTTTTTTTCTCGTGTATTTTCTTTTTAATGAGGTCTACCCTGACCGCTCTATGTGAGTTTGCAACCTTCCTTCCACTCACCCATCCCTAGCATACCCAATCTCATTTACCAAGCTCTGCATTTACTACAAACATAACACTTTAATATATTTTAAAATACTTACTATACTTAATATAATAAAATGTTTAATATATAATTTATTGCCTTCATTGTTTATCATTCCTTTCTACTGGTGGAATGTGAGCTCCACAAAGGCATGGATTTTTGTCTGTTTTGTCTATCAGTGTATCACAAATACCTAGAACAGTACTTGGCATACAGTGGACATTTAGTAAATATTGATCAATGAATTGATTCTAGATGTAAGCTTCTCTAAATACACTGTTAGGTAGAAATGTTATCCCTTCCTACTTTTTCTTTAGGACTTCTCTAAAGAAGGTTTAAATACCCCCTTCCAGCCAGACATGGTGGTACATGTCTGAAATCCCATTGACTCAGGAAGATGAAACAGGAGGATCACTAGTTCAAAGTAGCCTCAGCAACCTAGGGAGACTCTATTTCAATGTAAAATAGAAAGGGCAGGGGATGTATATCAGTGGTAAAGTGCCTCTGGGTTTGTTTAATCCTCAGTACCATCCTTAAACCATCTCCAAAGTATTCCTTCTAGGTAATAATTTGTATTATAATTTTTACCAGGTGACAAGGGTGACACCTGCTTCAACTGCATTGGAACTGGTATTTCAGGGCCTCCAGGCCAACCTGGTTTGCCAGGTCTCCCAGGTCCTCCAGGTAAAACATTCTGCATAAAATATTTCTTGGATAGATTCTAGTAAGTTAGAGTTAATAAATACCAGCAAGTACAATATTATACATAACATGAAATATTAAATTTATTTAAAATAAAGGATGATTTCATTTCAAGACTTTAAAAGAGGAAAATAAAAATGCAAATTAAGTGAGATAGAATGGGATTCTTATTTTAAAACTTGATTTCCTGACTTGACGATTTCTATGAGCTTTATTGAGGTTGCAAGCTCAAAACTCACATTATTTTATGTGTATGCATGCTAGGATCTCTTGGTTTCCCTGGACAGAAAGGTGAAAAAGGACATGCTGGAGCAATTGGTCCCAAAGGATTACCAGTAAGTTTGAGTATATTATAAATCAAAAAGAATTAGAGGAAAGTCATACACACTTTGAGTTTCACTTATGGAGTGATTACATAGTAGTTAGATAGATTATAGATAGATAGATATTTTCTATAGACATGTATATAGATAGATAGATTTTATATTAAATTGTAATTTATTTGATTCCTTGACCCTCCCTGACTTGTGCCTTACTTGATTTCATTATTTTTTACACTAAATGTTATTATTGATGGATTAAACTGTAGATAAGAAAGTATTACAAAAAATGAAACTGATTTTTTTTCTCTTTCTTGTCCCCCTCTACTTTGATATTTCCCCCACTTAGGGCATACCAGGAGCTCCAGGTGCTCCAGGTTTTCCTGGATCTAAAGGTGAACCTGGTGACATCCTCACTTTTCCAGGAATGAAGGGTGACAAAGGAGAATTAGGCTCCCCTGGAGTTCCAGGGCTTCCTGGTTTACCTGGCACTCCTGGACAGGATGGATTGCCAGGACTTCCTGGCCCCAAAGGAGAGCCTGTGAGTTGGTTTGATATTCTTGGTATTTTAATGTTGAATTTCCACACTGAAATGTTTTCTAGGAGTTGGGTGTGGTGGTGTGCACCACCCAGCTACCTTGGAGGCTGAGGCAGGATAATTTCAAGTTCAAGTCTGTCCTGAGCAACTTAGTGAAACCCTGTCTCAAATTTTAAAAAAATAAAATAAAATAAAAGGTCTGAGGATGTAACTCAGTACTAGAGCACCTGCCTAACATGTGCAGAGCCCTGGGTTTAATCACCAGTATCCAAAAAAAAAAAATAGTTTCCTAAATTAAAATAAAGGATAGGCCTTGTGCTGAGTTGTACACCCAATCTATGCTCAAAAAATATGATTACATATAGTAATAGTACACAATTACTTGTAGTATTTCCTTACTATTCTTATGATTCAGTTCAACTTCTAACACATTAGTATACTACTACTGGATATGAATAGGTAGGCAGGAGATTAAGATGCTTGAGTCATCATGAGGTTCATCCATTTCTTGTTCCACATATTTATAGCTGACAACCATATATTTGTGCTTTTTATGTAAAGTATGCTTAGAAGTTAGTATGAGTATATGGCCATGTTAAATGTGCCTCAGAGCCAAATATCAAACATTAAGGAGCAGTCTCATTTTGGGCATAACACATGGCCCAGAATGTTTAGGTTGGAAGTATATTTTATAATATGTTAGCTAGACTATAACCTTCTTGACTTTTATTAGTTTGTAAGCTTCATGAGAGTTGAGATTTGTGTCTACATATATTCTCTGCTATATTCTCACACTTGACACATAGGACTAGCTCAAATATATTTGTTGAAAGAGTGAATAACTAAGTGAATTGATCCTACATAGCAACCATTCCATCATAGCACCTATACTTATGTAGCTGTTAAGAAAAACTATTTATGACTGTATCATTTCCTTTGTTATATTAAATAATACCAACTTAAGTCGGGCATAATGGCACATGTCTGTAATCCCAGAGGCTTGGGAGGCTGAGGCAGGAGGATCATGAGTTCAAAGCCAGCTGCAGCAACTCAGAAAGTCCCTAAGCAAGACCCTATCTCTAAGTAAAATACCAAAAGGACTGGGGGTGTGGCTCAGTATATAAGTATCCCTGGATTCAATCCTCAGTGCCAAGAAAAAGAAGAAAAGAGAGAAAAAGAGACCCCTGACTTAAAAAAAAATTAAAAGGCTAGGGATGTGACCCAGTAGTTAACTATCCTAGGGTTCAGACCCTGGTACAAAGAATACTGATAGTACCAACCTACAAATAGTTGTTATATCTTTGTGTTTCTGTAGTAAACTTTTCCCTTTTCAGGGCGGAATTGCTTTTAAGGGTGAAAGAGGTCCCCCTGGGAACCCAGGTTTACCAGGTCTCCCAGGAGATATGGGGCCTATGGGCCCTGTTGGTTTTGGCCCTCCAGGCCCAGCAGGTGAAAAAGGCATACAAGGTGTAGCAGGAAATCCAGGCCAGCCAGGAATACCAGGTAAGTTTACTCTTATTATTTGTTATATTTTAAGTTTTGTGCTTAAGAGTGTACACATATTTATCATGTAGATGCACTTGGCTTCCTTTCCTGAGAGATGTATTTCCCTAGCCTTTTATATTTGGAGTCTTCAGAGCTCCATAGCAAGGGAACACAATACTTTAAGGGGGAATTCTTTTTAAATTTTTGTTCTTTTTAAGTACATGATCTATAATGCAAAGTTTAATAAATAATTATAATAGAAACACACATGTAATTATCACACACATCAAGAAATAGAACATTGTCAGCATCCTAAAAACCTCTGCTTTCTTGTTCCTGTTCTTGCCTGATCATCATACCCTTCTTTCTCTCCAAAAGTAACCACTGCTGTGACTTTTGCATGATTTTTTTTCCATTTCCCACTGTTTTATCACTTATATATGCATTCCTAAAAAATACTTCAATTTTGCTTCTTTTTGAGCTTCATATTGGTGGAATCATAGGGTAAGTGTTCTTTGTTTTAACTTCGTGTGTAGCTATATTATATTCATTTTCATTGCTGTATATATATATATATATATATATATATATATATGATCCCATTGTGTGTGTGTGTGTGTTTTACAATTCATTTACCCATTCTTTGTTCAATGAATCAATTGGTTATTTGCAATTTGGACCTATTATAAAAAATGTTTTTATGTACAGTCATACACAAACACACACACACACACATGCACACACACACACATGCACACACACACACACACACACACACTGGTGTTCACATGCTCACACTTCTGTAGGGCAGGGGTTAATAACAACAACACATTTACCAAATCCATCTCATTATCTGTTGTTACAAATAATTCTTATTTGTACATATCCATGCCCAATCACCATTGTCTATAGTTATTTTTTGAGCAATAACAGCAGGAAAGAGTACTTACTAAAGAGACCATATGGTCCACAAAGCCTAAGGTACTTACTCTCAGGTCCTTTTCAGAAAAAGCATACCAATCCCTGAGTTAGAGTATATATTTAAGATTAACTTTTATGAAGCAGAGGATATGACATTTTGAGGCAGCTTGACTAGATATCCAGAGCAAATATGCCAATATACTAGCATAAGAAATGTTGGAGATTTTATTGCTCTACATATTTGCTGATATTTTATTTTGTCATACTTTAACATTTTTGCTAGTATATTAAGTGCAATATATCTTGGCAGTTTCATTTTGTGTTAAAATTTAGTGCATTCTCATATATTTATTGGCCATTTGATTTCCTTTTGTGAAATGTTTGTTTTTACCATTTTTCCTATTGGAATATTTGTTTTTATTATTGATTTTGAGAAGTTCTTTATATATTCAGTGTATTACTTCTTTGTTAGCTATGCATTTTGCAAGAAATCTTTACTTACCATTGTTTACCTTTTGTTTTTTTTAACATTTTTTATTATTAGTTGTTCAAAACATTATTCCCTGATGTCTTTAATAAACAAAAATCAGATTTAATATGATCATATTTGTTGGTCTTTTTCTCTCATGGTTAGTGCTTGTTATGTCATGTTTAGGAAATTCTTCTTTGTCCTGAGCCAATTTTAAGCCTCTCTTTCAATTAATGAGAAGTGGTTGTACTTGGACTTTGTACATATAAAACCTAAAAGTATCATTAGTTAACCAAAAATAAATACTTTCATTGTTTACTACAATTTTTAAACTGACTTACATTTTAAAAATATATTTAAAGATACTATCTTGTAATAGGGTTCTCCAAAGGATTGGAACCATTAGGAAGAATAGATAGATAAGAAGGGGGTTTTTTAGGGAAATTGACTCACATGACTATGGAGACTGAGATGTCCCATGATAGGCTTTTTGTAAGCTGGAGAAGTAGGGAAGAAGGTAGTGTATCTTGTTCCAAGTCCAAAGGCCTGAGAACCTGGGAGCTGTTGGTGACGGTCCCAGAGTTTGAAGGTTGGAAAAACTGCAGTTGTGATTTTCAAGAGCAGGAAAAAATGAGTGTTTGAGCTCCAGAAGAGAGAGAGAACAAATTTGCCTGTTTTCTGCCCTTTTGTTCTATCCAGACCCTCAGATGTTGCATGATCCTGGACCACACTGGATGAGGCAGGTCTTCCTTACTCAGTCCACTAATGCAAATACCAATTTCTCATAGAATCACCCCCACAGGCATACCCAGAAATAATGTTTTACCAGCTATCTCGTTATCCCCTAACCCAGTGAAGTTGACATCTAAAATTAATCACATCTTCAATCATGGAAATTCTTAAAGCCATCATCTACTTTTTCCCTTTGAAATTTCTTACTTACATTTGATACTTTCCTAGAATATATAATGTGGTATTGTTTTCTTGTGGTTTTTTGTTAATTTGCATTTTCAAAGGATTTTTGACAATTCCCTCTTTTGTTTTTAATTAGATGAGAGTTTTAGTCAAATAAACATTTTTCATTCATCACTGATCCATTCTTGTTTTCAGGTCCTAAAGGTGATCCAGGTCAGACCATAACCCAGCCAGGGAAGCCTGGCCTGCCTGGTAATCCAGGCAGAGATGGTGAAATAGGACTTCCAGGTATGTGAGGAATTTATTTCAAAATATCTCTACCACTTCTTAGCTTCTTTTTTTTTTTTTTTTTTTGAATGTTTCCCTTTCAACAACTGCTGTTTCTTTCTCAATAGGTGACCCTGGACTCCCAGGCCAACCAGGCTTTCCAGGAATACCTGGTAGCAAAGGAGAACCAGGTATTCCTGGAATTGGGCTTCCTGGACCCCCTGGTCCCAAAGGTATGTTGGAATGGATTTTAGGCAGGGTAAATTACCTGGTTAGTATGACATTATTCTTTGATAATGAATCATTAATAACTTTTCTGTGTGCTACGAAGAATTTAAATGAAATGTTACAGTGTCTATGCACTTTAAGTTCATGATGTTTAACTAAAATGGCATAGTCATAAAAATATCTAAGTTTTATATATATACACATATATACATATATGCAAAAATATTTCTAAGCCAAAAATCATAATAATTATTATATTTTGTGTTCATCATTATGTCCTCTGAGTTTCAAATGGTTCCTTACACACAGAAAACACTCAGTAGATACTTGTTGAATTAATGGATTGTATTAAACAAAATAAAGATCTACTGTGTACATTTATCCACTGTTTTACCTCAAATAAAAAAACTTTCTTGATTTATTGAAATTTTTATTACTTTTGCTTTAGTTCTGCTTTATTCCTCACAGAACTCATTCTTATTCAAGGGTACACATTCATGTGAGAACAGTTCTTAAATGTGTTCTTACTCATTTATACCAAATATTTTCAAAAGCCTCAGATTTCATTTTTATGTGGAGGTACAGATAATATTTACAATTTTTTTTTTCGTGGGGGGAGTACCAGGGATTGAACTCAGGGGCACTTAACCACTGAGTCACATCTCCAACCCTTTTTGAGATGGGGTCTGGATAAGTTACTTAGGGCCTCATTAAATTGATGAGACTGGGGGGCTGGGGTTGTGGCTCAGTGGTAGAGCGCTAGCCTAGCATGTGTGAGGCACTGGGGGCTTGGGTAGTGGCTCAGTGGTAGAGCACTAGCCTGGCATGTGCAAGGCACTGGGTTCAATCCTCAGCACCACATAAAAATAAATAAATAAAATAAAGTCATTGTGTCCACCTATAACTAAAAAACTATTTTAAAAAATTGATAAGACTGACTTTGAACTTACAATCCCCCCTACCTCAGCCTTTCAAGCTGCTGGAATTTCAGGTATGCACCTCCATGCCTGTCTCTACAGTTGTTTTTAGCTCATTTACAGAAGTATATGGGAGACATTTTATCCTATATTCAAATGCAAGAAGAAGCTCCTCTGAGTTTTTGTGTGGAATTTATTCCTTACATTTAGTTCTGTCTTGTTGTGTAAGAGTAATTTTTTTTTTCATCAGAAGAATGTATCTTCTGCACATTACCTCTGTGTGAAAATAAAATGATCATAAGGTGATTGAGCCAGACTATCAGACATTTGTAAGGCTTGATCCCAAGTAATCATGCAGTATGTCATTGTGCTTTTAACATGTTACTATAGCCACTAAGCATATTGATTAGGTTAGAATGTGAGGTTGATAATTTTAATATATTTCTTCAAGTGTCTCCTCTTTGGGAACTAAAACATGGCATGTTAATTTTACAGGTTTTCCTGGAATACCAGGACCTCCAGGTGCACCAGGAACACCTGGAAGAATTGGTCTAGAAGGCCCACCTGGGCCACCAGGCTTTCCAGGACCAAAGGTCTGGGCATTTTAAGTTATTCCATCTCATTTTCCTATATCTTTAGTTCTGTCTATTTAATTTTTGACACTATCTTAAGTTTTTAGTGTACAGACAAAATCTAACTTATTATGTTTTAATTTCAGTATATTTAACACAAAACCATCTTTAATAGTCCAAGAAGTCATACTTGAATACAAAAAAAAGAGCTTTTGATCTTGTATTAAAATGGCCAGTTATTTAATGATCAGCTTCCCCGTTGCTTCCCTACACTATCCTATTTCATATCTGGCCATGCTTGCGCAATGATTGATTGCAAAGGTGTTGAATGTATTAAGACTTTCCCATACTGTTTCCTTCAGTCCCATTTCCATCACAGATACTGTCGCTGCTATTAACAGTAATAATAATCATAAAAGATTTGTATTTGTTAGTATTCATTTCTTTATCTAATCTCGAACTACCCTTAGTCATCCTTCAGCAAACTGCTGCAGTATGTAATTATCCTGACTGTTCCTGTATTTTCTCTGAGCTTAATTAATTTAAACTTCCTGTGTTTTATCATTATTACTCGTTTTCCATGGGAAAAAGAGCTGACCATGACCTTGGCTTCCATGAGCAAACCATTTCTCTGTTGGTTGATTATTTTTCTTTTAATATAAAAATTTTCAAGTAAACACAAAAGTAAAAAAGTAATACAATGAACTTTCATATATGTATATCATTCAGATGAAAAATTATTAAGATGTTATCATAATTACTTAATGTATTCCTTTTTTCTTTCTGAAATCTTATCCAAAATCTCAAAATCATGTTGTTCGACCCACAAATACTTTGGTGTTCACCCCTAAGTAAGTGGACATTTTATATAAAAAATCACAATGACATTATCATACTTGGTCAAATTAATAATAATTATTTGAGAGTATCTAATACTCAGTCTATAATCACATTTCCTTGTTTGAGTAGATGTTATTTAATCTCATGTTCTCTGCTATCTCTTTCTTATTCTGAAACCAGTCCAACTCATTTAATTTGTTTTACAAAACCCTGTTTTCCACCCTTCCAGATGTTCTTTTTAAGATACCAATTACATTTCATTTAATTTATTCTCTTCTTCTCCCAATGGAAAAAAGAATATTACTTTGTATTTTCTGCTTTAAATTCCCTCTAGTAAACAATAAGCACTAGGAAAGTCATGGAAGATTTTGTTGTGTTTTGTCATGTGTATGTTTAAGGGAGAGCCAGGATTTGGGTTACCTGGGCCACCTGGGCCACCAGGACTCCCAGGTTTCAAAGGAACGCTTGGTCCAAAAGGTGATCGTGGCTTCCCAGGACCTCCAGGTCCTCCTGGACGTACTGGTTTGGATGGACTACCTGGACCAAAAGGTATGGAAGCTGTTGCTACTTCTCAATTTGATTTTAACTTTTATAGTAATTGAAACCTGTAAGAAAGTTTATGGGTGACAATCCCAATTGCCTGGAAAGCACATACTATCCCTCTGGAACTGCTATATTTTTTTTAACTTTCCATTGACTATTTTTTTCTTTTATTTAATTAGATAGATAATAAAAAATATAAATGTATAAAAGTAACACTGAGAAGTATTTTATTCATCTCATCCCCTTATACTCTGTTCCTCTTCATTTCCATATTCACTTTTTAGTTTCTTTTTTTTTAGGTATACTATATTGTACTACATGTATAGTACACTTATATAAAAATCAAAACAGTAGATATTCATTGAATGTAGGCAATGGAGAATGTGAATACACACACACACACACACACACACACACACACACTTCAGAATAGTGGATATCTAAGGTAAGCAATAAGATAACAGTGAATCCCCATTGCTTATCTTGTAAAAGTTAAAAATTTCACGATAAATTGACAAACTGTTCTCTAATGTTGTCATGAAATTTTTAACTTTTTAGTTTCTTGATAGAATTCAGGGGCACTCGACTACTGAGCCACATCCCAGCCCTATTTTGTATTTTATTTAGAGACAGGGTCTCATTAAGTTGTTTAGTGCCTCACTTTTGCTGAGGCTGGCTTTGAACTCATGATCTTCTTGTCTCACGTCTCCTGAACCACTGGGATTTGAGGTATGTGCCACCATGCCTGGCTATAAACATATGTTTTATTTTCTGCATTTCTTGAAAGATAAAGAAAATAAAATACCCTTTGGCTTTTTTTCACTTTGCTTATTTCACTTAACTGTAAATCTTAGAGATCACTCCATAGTACATAGACACCTTGAGTGAAAAAATGGCTGCCTAGTTTTGAGTTGCATGAATATACTTAAGTTTATTCCACCAGTTACTAATTGCTAGAATGAATTTTTGCCAGTCTTTTCTTATTAACCAATCATGCCACAGTGAATGTACTTTTGCACACATTATTTTGGATGTGCTTATGTATACTAATAGAATGGAGTAATGAAAATGGATTTTCTGAATAAAGGGTAAATGTACCCTAAGTATTGTCAGATTCCTCTTCATTTGCACCATTTTACACTCCAACCAGCAATGTATGAATGTGCCGGTTTCCCCAAAGCATTGCTTACTGAAGGTGCTGAAAAACTCCCAAATTTTTGCTGATAGAAATAAGTAGGTTTCTCAGTATGCTTCTATTTTTAAATTTTTATGGTAGAAAATTTAAAATATACGAAAAAAGTAAAAGAATTATACAGTGAACAGTCATATTCCACTGTCTATAATTAACATTTTCTCTCCCTACCATACTTTATTTTTTAAATTTTCAAATATAGGGTCTAGTGATAGAGCATTGGCTAGCATGCTCAAGGCCCCAGGTCTGATCCCCAACACCAGAAAAAAATTACATGAATAGCACAAAGTTATAATACACAAGCTTTGTCACATGTCACTCTAACTATCCCGCTGTCTACCTGTTGATTTATTTTTGCATGCATTTTAGATAAATTACAGCAGGAAACTTCTACCTAAATACTTTAACATGCCTAACATAACTAAACTTTCATAGCTGTTTATTTTTTCTTGTGATATTCACATTGAATGAGATGCATAAATCTTACCAGTACATTTGCTAGATTTTTCCAATTTATACACCTTGTAATCCAAATTCCTATGAAGATATCATCCCAGTGCTAGGAATGTAACTCAATGGTAAAGCACTTGCTTGGCATGCACAAGGACATGGGTCCAGTCCCCAACACCTCAAAAAAAAGAGAGCATCCCAGAAATTTTCCATATGTCCCCATATGGTCAGTCCCTTCCCCAACATCCATAGTTGGCAACTCTACTGCTATGGTTGTTTTATTATAAGTTAGTCTATACCTGTTATAGAACTCCTTATAAATGGAATCATACAATGTGTACATTATTTGTAAGGCTTCTTTCAATAGCATAATATTTTTGATATCCATCCATGTTGTTGTGTTAATCAGTAGTTACTATCTTTCAATGAAATTATTGAATGTTACTGTTTGAATATACTATGGACACCTGGTTCAAAAGTATCATCATGAAAAATAGAATGGTGTGCTAAGAAATATTTAATTAAAATAAATAAATGCTATTTATGATTGTAACAAAATGTATGTTACATCCTCAGTACCACATAAAAATAAATAAAATAAAGGTATTGTGTCCAACTACAACTAAAAATATGTATGTATATATATATATATATATATATATAAATTTTCATTTCCTTTTTTAAAATAAATAAATAATTTGAATTATTTTCCTTATTTGCCTTGACCAGGCAATCACTGTGTAATTCACAAAATGTTTCATCACAAAATTAATAAAAATGTGCCTAATTATAAGAAGTATTAAGACTCTTTATTATTAACACCTTGAGAATGGTAGAATTAATTGGTTAATAAATCATATACATTAAAAGGAAGACTAAGTGATGTCAACTGTCCCCAAATTCATGTTGTGTAATGTTTGGTGAAGTTAATTTAGGCACTGAAATTGAGTGCTCATCTTATGTTAAATTATGAAACTGTAATTATGTAATCCCTCTCTAGGTACTTCTGTGTACTTTTCTTCTTGAATGAATGTCCAGTTTTTCAAGATCTTTGTTGAATATTATGGGCCTTTTTACATGGGTATTGTGGTTTTTTGAGGACTGATGACTCACCTGTTATTAATATCTAAACTATATTTATTTATTAAAGGTGATATTGGACCAAATGGACAACCTGGGCCAGTAGGACCTCCTGGGCTGCCAGGAATTGGTGTTCAGGGACCACCAGGACCACCAGGGATTCCTGGACCAATAGGCCAACCTGGTAAGATTGGAGTTAATAGGTATTTTATAGCAATCATAGCTTGGTTAGCTCATCAATAAAGTGAAAACTATGTAACCATCTTTGACAAACCTATTTAAGATATAAACTATCCATATGTATAATTTTGTATGTAAAATTATTCATATGTAAAATTAAAAAAAAATAGGTCAGAGCAAAAGAGTTACTTTAATCCCCAATATCTCCCTTCCTGTTCATCTAAATTTCATTTATTTCCACTAATGCAGTTTAATCAATTGCAATTTGTTATGATTGACATAATCATTAAACTAGATATAGTTTTGGAAGCATAGACTTTAAACTCCTATGCAGCAATAATAGACCTTTGTCTGTGGAACCTCCAAACATTTCTTACCATATGAACTAAGGTTAGGGCTCACCAAAGAAACTCTTTAAAAATATAATATAGAGGGACTGGGGTTGTGGCTCAATGGTAGAGCGCTCACCTAGCATGTGTGAGCCACTGGGTTTGATCCTCAGCACCACATAAAATTAAGTAAATAAAATAAAGGTATTGTGTCCACCTGCAACTAAAAAATAAATATTTAAATATATATATATATATATATATATATATATATATATATAATCGCCTCTAATAGGCGATCACTGTGTAACTTAGGTCTCTAAACTATGTTTCTTGTATTGTTTATTTAATACTTGAAAAGTATTTGTCAACATGTAACTTAATGGTTTTGCCTCCATAAGAAAATGATAAGGTTCTTCTCTGTGTGAGAGTATATTGAGATTGATGATTTTGAGTCATCTGGTGATGTGAATTCTTATTATTTTAATCTAAGCAGTCATAGTAAGGGCAAACCTGAGGCTGACATTATGTTATTGCAAAGTACTATGAAAATAAGTAAAATTAAAACAAAAATGGAATTTTTAGTCATTCCTTAATTTATATGAATACATCAGAAGACTTAAAACCATAGTTCAGAATATGGATACATTTACTTTGAAGCCCTAGAAATATATTTTTCTGGGATGGGGATGTAGCTCAGTGGTATAGTGCTTGCTTAGCATGAATGAGGCCCTGGGCATCACAAAAAAAAAAAAAAAAAAAAAAGAAAGAAAGAAAAGGAAAGGAAAGAAAAGAAAAGAAAAGAAAGTGTATTTTTCTGGCCTTAAATGACTAAAGGTATTTTGTTAAAAATCTAGATATACCAATTAACAGTATTAAAAGCCTATAAAGTAAAGGCTATTTTTATTGTGTCCTATGTTTAAAAAATTGATTTTAAGGCACATTGTACCTTTTTTAATGGTGACAGACATGTCACTACTAATTTTAAAATAAGAAAGCTTTAGATTGATGTTTTGAACCAGGTTGTTATAAAATAGTTGTTTCATCACTCTTGAAAAAATTATGATTCCAACTATCATGCAGAGAATCTTGAGAAAAATCTATTTTTAGGCTTGGCCATTATAGGCTTGACCTGCTGATTCACAAAGATGGATAAAAATGAATTTATCACTTCTGTCGTGTTTTATTATTTCTTTTAGTTCCAGAAAGTACATGAGATTATGGGAACATTTTGAATCATTTAATCACAGCTGAGTGAGAAGTCACCATTAATACCAGCCTGAACAAAACACAAATTTGTGTATATATGCTTCATGCTTTTCAAATTCAGCTAATACTCTTCAGTGTTTCATTCATATAATGTTCTCTCCCTCTCTCCTTTTTCTTTTTCACTTCTGGGATTGAACCTAGGGGAATTCTTTCATTGTGCTACATCCCCTGTCCTTTCTAAAATTCTTTAAAATTTTGTGACAGTATCCCCCTAAGATGCCTAGGCTGGTCTCGTACTTGCAGTTTTCCTACCTTATCTTCCAGAGTAGCAGGGATTACAGGCATGCACCACCGTGCCCAGCCTTCCTCCTTTCCTCTGTTACTATATTGATTTATAAAGTCTAGATAAGATGTGCAGGGGTGTAATTAATAGTGCTGAATTTATCTTCATCTGTTTCTTCCATAAATATATGTTTTGCCATAGAATTCAAGGTCTAAACTAACAGGCTTTAACAAATAAATGAAGATCACAGCAATTATCATGAAGATTATTGAATGCATAGTGAATATAGAAATGTTATCAAATCATCTTTATTTTTCTACCACAGCAAGACCACATTCATATTTGATAGTAGGTACATGTAGTCATTTTTAAAATAATTTATTAGTTGTAGATGGCCAAAATATATTTATTTATTTTCATGTGGCACTGAGGATCAAACCCAGTGCCTCACATGTGCGAGGTGAACGCTCTATCACTGAGCTACAGCCCCAGTCCACATGTAGTCATTTTTAGGTTAATTTTATTTATATCACCAAGGCAAAATATTGTCTTAGCCTGTTTCAAAAATGTTATGATTCCTTTTCATGTATTTCAGTAGTATTGGATCAGCAAAACTGTTACTAACATCTTAATAAATATGACTTTGCTGAAATATTAACTCTAAATTTTTATAAGAAACATATTAATATACTCGTTTTGTTTTGCAATAAGACTTAATGCAAATTATTTTATATTGTTATCTCTCCAGTATAAAATGTTTGCATTATGCTTTTCAGAGATTTTTTTTAACTCATGTTTCCTAGTATTATTTACTTAAAGTAAGTTTTACTGTTTCCCATTTTCCAAGGCAGACCATACAGTTTAACACATGTTTATAAACTAAGGTCCTGTTGAATATCATTTCCTCATGTGACAGCAGGAAATAAAAGAAAAAAATGCCAAGTGATGAGAAGCAGAATGCTTTTCATCCCATGACCTACTAACCCAGACAAATATGGAGGTTGTTGATTCTTATTATTTAGTTTGGCCATTAGCTGGAAGGTTAATGCTTTAGTGATTTTTTTTTTACCAATTGATTAAATATATTCTATTCTATCTCCACAGACATGTTCCTCTAACCTGGGCCAAATGTGTTGTAATGCTTGCCTATTATCAGGAAAAAGTGTATGGCTGAGTCATCTAAAATGAAAAGCAATATTTACCACCACTGTGAATCAAAACAAATCAACAAAATACAACAAAATCCCAGGGATTATTCAAACAATTTTCATAGATTAAGAATACAGTAGGGGCTGGGGTTGTAGCTCAGTGGTAGAGTGCTTTCCTATCACATGTGAGGCACTTGGTTCGATCCTCAACACCATGTAAAAATAAATAAATAAAATAAAAGTACTGTTGTGTCCATCTACAACTAAAAAAAGATATTTAAAAAAGTAATATACTATCATTTACTAACTTTTTTGGTGGGCTCTGAAAACCTTGGACAGTGTGAGGTTGTGTGTGTATTTGTGTGTATGTGTGTGTGTGTGTGTGTGTGTGTGTGTGTGTGTAGAAAAGTTTCCACAGGGGGGTGAGGATATAACTGAGTGGTAGAGTGCTAGCCTAGCATGTGTGAGGCCCTGGGTTTGATCCTCAGCAGCCCTCCCCCTAAAAAAGAAAAGTTTCCACAGATAGTACATGTTTTCCAAATTTTCCCTTTTTTTCCCATTAACAGTTCCATTTGGCTACCAGTAAATTTAGAGCATCTCTATACTCCTATTCATATAATTCCTGTTATTGTATAAGGAGAGTCAACAGAAGTTTTAAATTTATATTGATTTTCTTCACCCTGGGTCGTACCAGGATGCCTATTTTTTACATTTGTTCATGGAAAAGGTCTATGTTGTGAAAAGTACAGCATATTGTTTGTTACTACTACTAATAAAAACAATGAAGAACAAAATCTTTGCCTAGTACATGCAAGCAGTTTACTCATAGTCATCCAGTAACAATTATTGGTTGCTTTCTACCTAACTTGTTAGAGTATAAAATAAAAATATTTTTAACTTCTAACTAACCCTTAGGAACTTAAGTTCCAATATGATATTGAAAAATATAAAGGTAAAGATAAACACATGTACCAAACTGACCTTCATCAAAAAACATTACTTTTGTGAATGTAAATATTTCATTGTCTTTATTTACAAATACATTTTACTTATGTTATATGTTATATGGACTTATGAGAAAATGTTTAAAATAGTTCCTTTGCTTGTTCCTAATACAGTAAATGATAGTAGTGAATTAATATCTAATAACTTCTATTTGTAGACATTTTTGTTCTAATCTTTTCATGCTTAGTTTTGTTTCCTAACCTAATGAATCATTTTGCAACTTACTTGTGCTTGGGTGGCTCAACTTGTGGCTGAACTGTGATTTTCTGTCTCTCAAACTTAAGGTGTACTAGGTATTGTACCTCTTAATCAAAAGCTACATCTTAAAGCTTTAAATATTGAAAACAAAATATTTCTCCAGATTTAAATCTTTGGTTTCTTTTTATTATTTTATAGATATGCTCTCTTGGAGCATATTTTAAAAGACACATTAACTTATTGAAAACTCAGCTATTAGAAAACTATTTGGGTTACAGTATAACAATATAGTCAGTGGTCCATGTAGAGCTATTATAATCTTATTAGGCATCTTATCGTACTTCACAAATATAATAACATAAAATCTCCCTCCCCTCTGTATAGTATTTTACTATGAAATGGCAGCATAGTAACTATCACCATTACTGCAACTAAGAGGAATTCTCTAATCTTTGGATGGATTTTATCAATTAAAAAGTATGATAAAGGGGTTGGGACTGGGGGTCAGTGGTAGCACACTTGCATGGCATGTGTGAGGCATTGGGTTTGATTCTCAGCACTGCATATAAATAAATAAAATAAAGGTCTATCAACAACTAAACAAAATTTTAAAGCATGATAGACACATCAAGCAGATTTTTAAATCCCAGCATCTTGTTCTCTTATGAAAATAATCACTTACGAATTTCCAACAGTAGATTTAGATTTTATTGTTGAAAGGACACTCAAATGATCATTTGGCTTAGTCTCCAGCTTCCAGTCCATTATGGCATTATCCCCATTTAGTAGATGAGTAACAATATTAAGTGACTCAGAAGAAGGAAGAAGGACAGCTGATAACATACTAGAGTGTGAACATATACAATGTGTTCTGGTTTTTTTCTTTTTCTTTTTTTTTTTTTTTTGCCAGGGATTGAACTCAGGGGCACTTGACCACTGAGCCACATCCCCAGCCCTATTTTGTATGGCTGACTTTGAACTCACAATCCTCCTGTCTCAGCCTCCTGAGCTGCTGGGATTACAGGCGTGCGCCACCATGCCCAGCACAATGATTTTAATGTAATTCTTTTCACATAAATATATTGTGTTTTGACCAACTTGTTTCTTGGAGTGGTTTAGTCTCAGAATCTTACTAAGGTTAAGCATTTTTGTAATTTTTTCTCTGTAAAATTCTGGTTGGAATACTGAGAAATGAAAGTTAACAAGAACTAACAGGAATGTATGATTCAAACATCTAAAGCAAAGCCAAAATGAAATCAAAAAGATCCTTATAACTGAATTATTCAATAATTAATCATTTTTAGAGATGGTAGGAGTGTGTACTAATAATTCATAATGTGTTAGAACAATGCAAATCCAAGTGTGGTCAGTGGGCCAAAGTCTACAATGGGACAAGGACAGTCTACAGTGGTTATCAGTCTACAATGGGATTAAGAATAAGCATTTAGAAACTTTTAATAGCAATTTAATGTGTAATCATATTCATTGAGCAGAGTAACAAAAGTAGACATCTTTGATTTTTATTTCATGTTTTAGTAATTTTATTATATTTTACAAAAATTTTTAATCTATGATGAACTAGGAATTAAGGAAAAATTAGTTTTTAATCAGAAGTAATTTGAGAAGCACCATTTTAAAGGATTATAATTGAAAATCCTAAAGCTTGATTTTTCAGTAATTTTATGTGGATGATGCTAAAAGTATGTCTAACATACTCTTAGGTTTGTTATACAAAAAGTTCTATCACTTGTTGACTAGAAAAATAACCAGGTGTATCTTTTAAAACTGCCTTAATAGGTGTTGATATTGATGTTGTTATCAACTAGGTTTGCATGGACTACCAGGAGAGAAAGGAGATCAAGGACCTCCTGGGTTTGATATTCCAGGACCCCCTGGTGAGAGGGGCAGTCCAGGAACCCCTGGAGTGCCTGGTCCTGTGGGACCTCCAGGATCACCAGGCCTCCCAGGAAAAGCAGGTGCTTCTGGATTTCCAGGTAATTTGCTTACTGTTTTCTCTGATTTTGGATTCAGGAAATTAATACTAATATGACTCTGGTAGATTATTGTCATGTTGCACTTTTCTGGATTGACACTGTCAAGGAAGTGTGCTCAATGTCTTTTTTAAAAAATTTATTTGTTCTAATCAGTTATACATGGCAGCAGAATGCTCTGTGATTCATTGTACACAAATGGAGCACAATTTTTTCACTTCTTTGGTTGTACCTCAATTTGCTGTGTGCACTCTCAATAGAGATGAGAGTTCCAGTTATGCATTATTGTATAATAAACAAGTCAAAAACTTAATGGTTTAAACCAACCTTTTTATTTTTCTCAAGATTCTGAGTGTCAGAAACAAAGAGGTAATTTCCTGGGTCATTTATCTATAACCCATATGGCCCCAACTGGAGTTATTGGGGCTAATGGCACTTCTTTGATGTTGAGTGTACCTTGGTTCACATGGCATCTCATAATCCATGATGCCTCTTTGCATGACTTGAGCTCCTCACACCATAGGATCAGATTAGGTGCTCTCCTTCCAGGACAGCTAGATTCCAAGAGAAAGAGTCTCAGAAGCCACAAGTGAGGGTCCCCAGGACTCCCATAGAAGCCTCAATACTACTTTTGATCTAACCTTGGGAGTTATATAATGTCATTTAGTCAAGGGTAAAACAGAGAGTCAGCTCTTATTCCAGGGGAGAGGGTTACCACAGAATGTATATGCTGGGAAATATGTTTCATTGAGAGGCCATCTTTGGTGATTAGCTGCCACAATGAATGTCCACAATGAATTGGCAATAGTGGGAACTAAGGTTACAACAGGTGAAAAAGGTACAACTTCACAGTGCTTTCTTTCCAACCTATAGTTGTTTTGCAGTTGACATCTTAAAACTTATTTTTTATCTTTCCAAAGTCAAAAAAGGCAAAAATTACTTATTGATATTCTTCAAAGGTGCCAAGGGTGAAATGGGTATGATGGGACCTCCTGGCCCACCAGGACCTTTAGGAATTCCTGGACGAAGTGGTGTTCCTGGTCTTAAAGGTAATATTCAGAGTATGCTAGCAGATGTGTATAAGAAACAAAAATTAAAGATTCCTTTATGTTGGTACAGAATATTTTTATGTGACTACTTCAAAATGAACAGTGCTTAGTGTTTTCTTTGTATGCATTTAAAAAGCTCTTGTTTTAAATTTAGTGATATACTTAGTTTGGTACCAGAAAACATGGTAAATGCTTAGCTCTAAATATAAGGATTAATTTTTTTTGGCAGGGGCAGTCTATCATTGTCATATAATTACAGAAGGAAATATTCTTATTTGAGTTTAAAACTGTGTATGTGCTCAAGAAATTCATAGACTTTAACTTAAGCTGCATAAATGTTTTGGGTTGCTAGCAGCCAACCCAACTACTAAACATATAAACTATATATGTATTAATTGTGGATGGATAAGTCACATCTGCTTTGTCTTCCCCCACACACGTTGATTTTAGGTGATGACGGCTTGCAGGGTCAGCCAGGACTTCCTGGCCCTGCAGGAGAAAAAGGTGGAAAAGGAGAACCTGGCCTTCCAGGCCCACCTGGACCGATGGATCCAAATTTCCTGGGCTCAAAAGGAGAGAAGGGGGAACCTGGATTACCAGGTGAGTGAATGCATCTGTTTATGGATGTGTTTTCTGATATGTCTGAAATTTAATTTGGGGTAAGAGGTGGCACTGGGTATTAATCCCAGGACATTCTGCATGCCAAGCATGCACTCTAGCACTGAGCTACACATACCCTCAGCCCCTGAAGTTTAATTTTTAGATAAAATGAAAAGTAACTTGTAATAAGAGAATTCATCAACAAAGCATACTTAGATGCATCAGATGTTGCTAAAGAACATTAATTTTCACTTGGTTTATAATTTTTGACAGATCAACTTTTGTTCAAATATTTTCTTTGTAGTTTTCCTATCACAAGCTGGGAGATTTTAAAGTAGACAGCCAGTCACCTTCAAGCCTTACAGAAAGTAGTATAGGATGTATAAGATAGAAAAGGATATATAGCCACACTCACTTCAAAAATAGATTTCATTGTTTAGGAAATTTGCTACTCCTTTTCATTTTTTCCTCTTGAAACCAGATGGGGATGAATGGCACATTGTTGAACTGTAGTGTTTTGATATCCATATCAAACTTGGCTTTTAAATATAGTTCACTGTTATTCTACCTTGGCAAAATAAACAAATATTGGATTCTGAATAGCCAAGTTCAGCCGTGGGGAAAGTCATTGAAAGTAGGTCTAGGGAACAACAGTGCTATTATAGTTGTTTTATTAGAAGCAAATAAGGTATGAAGTATAATGTGGATTTTTGAAATTAAAAAATATCCTTTTTCCTTTTTATAGAAGTATAACATCTTCATAACAAAACATTACAAAATATAGATAAGCACAAGACAATATATAAAATACTTATAGAAAAAAAAACCCAAATTTTCAAATCTCTTCCAACCCAATCTATGTAGAATAGCCTTTCAAACAATATGGAACATTAAATCCAGTTATGTTCATTTGCAGCTTGTAGTAAATTTATAACTCTTTTTGTGTTCCAATCATTAATATTTTCAGTTGTGTATACATGTGAATGTGTGTGTAGAGAGATACCATGCTTTCTGTATAATAAGAGCAGTAAACTGTACTTGACCTCTACTATGGGCTTATTAAAGATAGCCGTTGAATTTGAGAGATAGTCTAGGGATTATCTGTCCCAGCTTCTTCATTTTATACTGTAAGACACTGAAACACAAAGAGAGAAGTTACTTTATTAAGTGCTCTGATTTTTTTTTGGTGGTAGATTAATAAAAAGTAGAGTCGTTAGTATGAGTCCAGTATTAATGGTTCATACCACATCAGTTTCTTTATTTCACTTAGTGTTCAACACTTGGGTAGCTTGTTTTGCCAAACTAGTTTATCGGATAATGATAATTAGCCTAACTAGTCTCTTTTACTCATCCTTGGAAGGTATTCCTGGAGTTCCAGGACCAAAAGGCTACCAAGGATTGCCTGGAGACCCAGGACAACCTGGACTGAGTGGACAACCTGGATTACCAGGATCATCAGGTAGGTATCATAGGGCACTTATTTGAATGACTTGACCCAGAATCCTGGAAAAGTAATTATGTATTTTTCATGTTTGATGATGCTTTGGATCTGGTCATGGTAACATGGAACTCACTTTCAACAAAAACGTTTCCATTTGGCCCAAGTTTCAACAGATAAGATTTATAGGATATTTTGTTTTGCTCATTGAGTTTCTTCTCTTTTATGGTAGCAGTGTATATATAGAAGTATGGTTCAAGTACGTTCTATGCTTTATTTTATATGTTGCAAATGACAATTATAAACCTTTTATAAATCACAGTGTGTGTGTGTGTGTGTGTGTGTGTGTGTGTGTGTGTAGGTTACTGTTTCCTGTTTTGTTTTGTTTTTGCCTTCAGATAAATTTGTCATCACACTATTTTAAAACAGATGACTGCCAATTCCATTTTTAAAAATTTCTAGGGGTCTGGGGATGTGGCTCAAGCGGTAACGCGCTTGCCTGGCATGCGTGCGGCCCGGGTTCGATCCTCAGCACCACATACAAACAAAAGATGTTGTGTCCGCCAAATACTAAAAAAAAAAATTAAAAAATGTTAAAATTCTCTCTCTCTCCCTCTCTCTCACTCTTTCTTTAAAAAAAAAATCTCTTCTCTCTCTCTCTCTCTCTCTCTCTCTCTCTCTCTCTCTCTCTCTCTCTCTCTCTCTCTTTAAAAAAATTCTAGGGATGAAAATTTCACAACCTGCCTTGGTAGACTGTTATAACATTAATAACCCTTATAGTAAATAGGATTTTTTTCCGATACCTCACAAAATTCTTTCTTGATGTTTCTTAAGCCATTTTCTTTTAGTATGGACCCTACAGAAATAAAGAACAGGTGGTTCTTTTCCTCCCTAAAATCCTTGAAGATCTGTTAATTTGTTTTAGACTCCATACCATATTGCCTTGAGGTAGTATGAAAGAAAAATTCTTTCTTTGTTTCTCCCTCACATCTTTTGCATTTTCTTCTCTTCCCCAAGCTAGAAATCAATGTGAAAAGAAAAAAAATTAAGGAAAAATAGTGTTTAAGGTAACAACACCGTGGTCCTTGGAAAATACCTAGATGATATCACAGAGTTGATGCACCTACGCTCTAGGAAGAATATACAGACAGAACAGCTATGCCTGTTGGGGGTGACTGCCAAGTGCCGCTACATCAGCCTATCAACCATTATCACTCTCTGGCCTACTGTACTAGGACTGTATCATGACAGGTTACTACCTTTGCTCTTCCTGGTCTCATATAATCAGGCTCTATATGGAAAAGCCATATATGAATCTATTTTGTTATAATTATTAGCACATACTAATTTTACAAATCAATGAATTGTTTCATTGTGAAATTTCCGTGTGCATATACTGATTTAATCATCATTTATTAATCTTAATAAACTCATTATATTGATTTATCTTTGAAAATACAAAACAATAAGCATAGTCATACAAATGCAACAAATAGAACCTTAGGTGATTAGAAAAGTTTTAGGGGAAGAAACAAGATATACTGGTATTTTTTAAAATTATATTAGGAGACCTCTATTACCAAATAATATTGTAATAAGTTTCTAATGAGATTCATTTTATTTTTTTTGTTTTCTTTCTCTCTCCACCTTCCCCTTTTTTGCAGTACTACTAAGATTGCTTGATGTTTCATGCTGAGTTATATCTGTGGACCTTAATCACATATTAATGTTTAACCCATCAAATCCCATGCTGGAGCTTATTTGTCTTAATTTTACCAATTTCACTGTTCTAGGTCCCAAGGGTAACCCTGGTTTCCCTGGCCAGCCAGGACTTATAGGACCTCCTGGACTTAAAGGAAACATAGGTGACATGGGATTTCCAGGTGAGTGAATACTTCCCATATATTTAGTCCTATTAATGGAAGGTGATTGACTATCTTCTTTTTATCAGAAGAGTCTAGTGTAAGGGCCTGGGGATGTAGCTCAGTGGTAAAGCATTTGCTTAGCCTTCATGAGGCCCTGGGATTGATCTGTAACACTGAAAAAGAAAGGAAGGAAAAAAGGGGAATTTGTTAGGGAAGAAGAAGGGAGAAAAGAAAGGAAAGGAACTAGTGTTGATAGGTTCAGACTGGAACCATCTTTAAAGTAATCAATGGATAGAAGTCTTGTTTCAATTTTTTAATGGCTATAGGGATTGAATCCAGAGTTTTACACATGGTAAGAAAGCCCTGTACCACTGAGATATATTCCAGCCCTTGTTACAAAAATATTTGATGTGGGGAATTAAGGAATAGAACTTTAGAAATTTTAAAAGTTAAAATTCACAAGCATATCTGCTCTCTAGCTGTGTCCCTTTTATTTGAACTTCCTTTAAAAATAGGCCTTTATATGATCCTGACTATGAAGCTCATTATGATATAACTCAAGAGTTTACAGCTTTTGGTTTTTTATGTTTTGCTTGGTCATATGCATCTTAAATATGCCATCATTAAAGAATATTTAATAAAATATTATATATTACATATTTCAACAGGCCCTCAGGGTATGGAAGGGCCCCCTGGACCTCCTGGAGTTCCTGGAAAACCTGGCTCCCCAGGATTACCTGGACAGAAAGGAGACAAAGGTGATCCTGGTGTTTCAGGCATTGGTCTTCCAGGTCTTCCTGGCCCAAAGGTAAAATCATATTCTAGTCATATGCTTGAGCTGTTGTAATTTTTTAATTAATACTAATTCTTAATTCTTCATTAAGAAATTTATTGAATGATACAGTAGATACTGGATAAGAAATATGTTCCTTCTCATTTCTCTTAGATTGTAAGAAGATATGTTTTCAGGTTTGCACCAAATCCAAAAAAAAAAAAAAAGGAAAAAAGAAAACTTTCTGGTTTCTTTGATTTTCCAGTACCTTAATCTCTGAATATGTTTCAGTAAACTAGAAGCATATTTTTGCTTGGTTTTGGTTTTCCCTTTTTAGTGGTGGAGTTGTTGATGTTTTTTTCCCCTAATATTATTATTAATTATTTTGAAATATTTGAAAACAAAGTGACTTTAGCAGTTAATTAAAGTATATTAGTATGCCCTACTGCATATCTGGATTAGTTTGTTAATACAGTTTTACATACTCCTGTACTCCCCTAGTCAGTATGAAAACTTGGGTGGTGTTTCTCAAGTAATCAAATTTAGAACATATTTAGAACCATTAGACTCAATGAGAATCTACGAACAACTGCTGAGTTCCATGTAAAAATGTAATAACTCCCTTAATCATGCAGTCAGAATACAGAGCTAAGGTGTATTTATGTTACCCAACTTGCATGGAATTAGTGAAAATTTCTTCTTAAATAAGAATTTATAGAATTATATTTTAGAGATGATTTATTTCTTTGCAGTGCTGAAGATTGAACTCAAGGTCTTGCACATGCTAGGCAAAGCACTCTACCACTAGGCTAAATCCCCAGCCCTTATTTTATTTTAAGACAGGCTTTCACTAAATTGTCCAAGATTTGTCTTAAACTTGTGATCCTCGTTTACTGCTTTCCAAGTAGTTGGGACTACAGGCATGTGCTACTGCACCTGGCAATAATTTCCTTTTGAATGTGTTTCAGTAAACCAGAGGCATATCATACATAATATACAAAAGGACTATAGTTTAATTGTCCACTTGATCCACTTATTATAGGAGATAATCAACAACTTATCGAGGCCATAAGCAACTGAGCAGGAACCTGTGACAATATTAAAAAAAAAACAATAAAATGTGCTGGGGATGGGGATGAGGTTGTGGTTCAGCGGTAGAGCTCTTGCCTAGCATGTGCGAGGCCCTGGGTTTGATCCTCAGCACCACATAAAAATAAATAAATATAATAAAGGTATTGTGTCCAACTACAACTAAAAAAATAAATATTAAAAATAAAAGTGCTGGGGATATTGCTCAGTTGTTAAGCATTCCTGAAATTAATCCCCAGTACCAGAAAAAAAGAGAGATTCAAGAGAAGTTTCTGCATATTAATTCCACTTTATAATGTAAAGTCTATTGAAGTAAATTTTAATTTTTATGTTATATTTACATCTTACAGTAATACATGAGTATACGTTTTATTACAAAATAAAACACAGAAATATAAAGAGTAAAAGTGAAACTCTAATTCATGCCCTATTCTATTTTTTCTTATATTTTCCCTATAGAAGCACACTTTCAACAGAAAGTAAAATTTAGGAATTTGAGTTCTCTTGTCTGCACACATTATATATGTAGAATTATTGTGTACACTATACTTAGCCTTGTTTTATCACTTACATATTTTTCTTTTTCAGTATATCTTAGTTTTCTTTGTCATGTACATTCTTTCTGCAGACACGTATATAATTATTTATGCTGAATAGATTCCTAAAAGTGAAATTGCTGGGTCAAGGATAAATGCACTGATATTTTTGTGTTTGTAAGTTTTTATAATAATAGTAACATATGAACTTGACTTTAAAATTCACTCAATTTGGAAAGATATAAGTTGAGAATATTCTTTCTACATGTTCACAAGCTCCAAATCCCCTTTCGCTTTTTTTTCCAGGGTAATCAGTTTAAGCATTTTCTCATTTACTCTTCCAGAAAAGTGTTTTAATACAGATATGTGCATGCATTTAGGATATTTCATTACTTTTAAAATTCCTTTATTTACATTTAAAAATCCATGGTATTGGAGTACATCTTACAATGGAAAGAATATTTCAATTAAACTTGGAAGCATTTTCCTCTATTATGGATATGTGAAATGATGCTACATCTTCCACACTGAAATGTCTTTGTGTAATTTTATTCACATACATAAAACCATGCTGTACATCTACTTACTTAGCTGTCATAGCTTAGGAATTCTTGACAATCCTATTTTTATTAAATTATTTATTTATTCTAATTTGTTATACATGATGGCGGAATGCAATTCATTTCATATTACACATATATAGCACAATTTTTTAAGTCACTGATTGTACACAAATTATTTTCATACATGTACTTAGGGTAATAAAGTCTAACTCATTCCACCATCATTCCTACCCTCTGGCCCCCTCCTTTTCCCTCCCTCCCTTTTGCACTATCTAAAGTTCCTCCATTCCTCCCATGCTCCCTACCCACCAATTGCCATTAGGAGTCAGCATCCTCATATCAAAGAAAACATTTGACCTTTGGTTTTTTGGCATTGGCTTACTTCATGGCGATCTTTTTTTTTTAATCAAGCCATAAATATGTACATCATTCTTTTTCTAATTATATGCTATATTCTATGTGGGTTTATGAGAAATAATTTAACCTATTAGGAATACTGAAGTCATTTTTATAGTTTCATGAGTCTAAATATATGACACTGAAAATTCTTATTCATATTTTACATATATATATCTAAAGAATCTTTGATAAATATCACCATAGAATAAATTCTGAGCAGAGTTGCTAGGACCCAGCATGTATTTGCCATTGTAATATTGATAGTTCTGTCATAGGTTTCTATCAGACATCTCTACTCATTTATATTTTTGTGATTACAATAAAATGTTTTCTATTTTCTCTTCATTTTATAAATATTGAGTATTATCAATTTTTCTAACTTTGCCAATGTAATAGGTAATAAGTAAGATATAATTATTTGTTTATATTTGAATTTTCCTGAATACAAGTAAGGTTCATCTGTTCATATCTCTTCTGTAAATTTTCTAGTTTTACATACTTTTAGGTAAAGGATAATATTCAATACTGATTAGTAAAAGTACATTATAAATAGTGAAGTTACATTCACTGTTATATATGCCACAAATATTTTCTCCACATCAATTGTTTGTCTTATAATACTGTTCATTGGGGTTGGGGTTATGGCTCAGCAGTACAGTGCTCGCCTTGCACATGCAAGGCCCTGGGTTTGAACCTCAGTACCACATAAATAAAATAAAGTTATAAAAAAGTAATAATACTGTTCATAGTGTACTTCTGTATGGAGAAGTTTTAAATTTTTTACATAGGTGAATTTGTATTCATTTATTTGATTCAAAATATATCTATTGAATATGTGTAATGTTCCAGGCACTATGCTAGGTGCTGGGGCTACATCATAAAAGAAACAAATGCAGGGCTGGGGATGCAGCTCAGTGCTTGCCTAGCATGCAGTTGATCCTGGGTTCAATCCCCAGCACCACCAAAAACTGAAGATAAAAGATAAAGGAAAAAAAAAACTCACTGCCAACCTGGTACCTTTATGTAGTCAAGGAGATATACATTAAACAAAATAAATAAGTCTGCAATATGTTAGAAGGTTATAAATCTCAAGATAAAATGTAGAGCAAGGGACGTAGGTAGGAATTGCTGGGAATTGTTAAATTTTGGAACAGGTCATTAATGGAAAATCTCTCTGATAACAATTGAGCAGTGACATCACTGCAGTAAGGGAGTGAGTCATGCAAAGACCCTAAGGTGGGGGCATACCTGATGTGTTTAGGGAACATAAATGAGGCCAGTGAAGATTAAATGGAATGAATGAGGTGACACTAAATAGGAGATGGCTCAGGTTGGTAATCAGATTATCTAGGGCCTTATAGGTTATAGTTAGGGCTTTTGTTCCTGACTAAAATAGGAAACAAATATAAAGCATAGTATGATTTATTATATATTAATGTATATTAAGTGTGTGTGTGTGTGTGTGTGTGTGTGTGTGTGTGTGTAACAGCTGCTGTTTTCAAATCGATAATAGAGGAACAAGGATGAAACATTAAGGTTTTGTAGCTCAGTTTATTATACATAGGCCATCATTCCTTTGCACATATCTGATACATACAAATTTCAGTTACAACTTAGTTAAATAATACTGGTGCACAACAGCATGGCTCCAATTTCAGTTACCATGGTATATTAGTTTTCAGTCCATAAATTACAATGTAAATAACAGATTGCATCATGTTTGGTGAATAGTCATTTTACTTCTTTCAAATTCTGTCACCATGCATCTGTTCAGTTCTTGTACTGACAGCAAAGAATGTAGTTGTGTTACAGCCCTGTCTCCCAGTGATAAACCAATGTGGTATTTTACAAAAATGGAAAATTGAAAGAGGAAATTGACAAGTAAAGAAAAAGTGCAAAAAAATATGGGAAATGGAGCTGGGAGTGTACACTAGTTGTAAATTGCATGCTTAGCATATGTGAAGCCTCACAAAATAATAAAAAGAAAAAGTAGAAAGGGGGAAGTGATAACACTGGAAGTGAGATTTCAACCGGTTGTAAATGGAGTTATAGAAAAAAAATAGCCAACCATAGGAATGTAGACCCTGCCACTATTTGAGAGTCGATAGGAAGCCAAGAATGTAGCTTATGTTGTACAAAATAAATGAGAAAAGTGGCATTGATGAAAAGAATGAAGATATTACAGAGAAGTGATGCCATCAGAAAAATTCACAATAAAGGAACTCTTGGAGACATTTCACAAAATTCAAAGTGCAAAGTTTAAAATATTGGAAGCTGGCTGGGGATGTGGCTTAGTGGTTAAGCACCCCTGAGTTCAATCCCTGGTACCCAAAAAATATTGGAAGCTGATCCAAACTTAGAAAGTAATGGGACAATTTCTGTGCCAAGGCATAGAAAATATGTGTCCTACAAATTGTAAGCTATACATACAGTGAAAAGAATGGAGCCA